CTTCCAACCCCAAAATTTCTCTTTCTTTCTCCCTAGAGCCGGTTCTATACACCGCTCCCTGTTATTTCCAAGTACTGACTTGAGCTTTGGAGAAGGTCCCAGCCGACCACAACCGGCGGGTCCTCTTTTGCAGGTATTCATCTCGAAAGCTGGAATCCAACGGAAAATCAAAAGGTCAACGCTCTCCGGACTCTACAGCGTACGAGGTCGGCTATTTTAGCTTGGCATCAACAATTGGCGCCCACCGTGGGGCCCGGTGAGATTACTACCTATAGATTTCCAATTCAACCAGTCGAGATGGATACAACGGATTCTCAACTGCATGTTGAGATCGGTCAAGGTTCAACTCCAAACCTTGAGCAAACTCTACCATCCCAAAGGGTTGAAGATTTGCAGGCTGAAATTGAGCGACTTCGTGCTCAGATTCGGTCTGCAACGGAGGCTTCACAACCACCTCCGGTTCCTCTACCAACTTTCTACGGGAGTACGGGAGTCCCTAGATCCTCCAACAACCATCATAATGGCATTCCGGCAACAACTGAAGCAGCGGCCCAAGATGTCCCCCCAATTGTTCCTCACCTCGAAGAACTTCCTCCCCTGGGGACGTTTTCTCAACCAAGTACCGGTCGCCCCCTTGCTTTGGCCATTCTAAATGAGCCGTACCCGGGAAACATCCATATACCCAACCTTCCGGAGTACAATGGCACCACCGACCCAGAAGATCATCTCAGTTCCTTTGAGATTTTAATGCCTCTTATTGGTGCCTCTGATGCCACCATGTGTAAAATATTTCCCGCCACACTTGGAGGGGACACTCGTCGATGGTACTCTCAGCTTCGTAATGGTATCATCAACAACTTCACCGAATTTTCCACACTGTTTCGGTGCAAGTTTTATGCCCAAAAGCGACAAGCAGTGAGCATTAATCAGCTCATGAATACCAAGCAACGAGAGGGTGAGGCTTTAAAAGCCTATTATGCTAGGTACAGCACCTTGGCTATAGGCGTCACTTCCCTCTCTGTTGAAGTAATTGTCAACACGCTGACACGGGAACAACAAACAGTCTTCTTCGAGCTTCCCTCATCAAGAAACCCCCTCGGAGTATGTTTGAGCTACAGGAGCGGGTCATGAAGTACATCGGTCTAGAAGAAGCTTTACAAGATTCCTCTTACGTTGTGCCAAAGCGTAGGAGGGATTCGCCTCCGCCAAACCGAGAAACTTTACAACGCCCCCACCCAACTTTGGATAACATGCCCAAGGCTCAAAAAGATGATCGCAGAAGGGATGGGCCATTCCCTCCAGGCCAAAATTTTACCCCACTCAACAATCCACGGAGGAATGTTCTCCAGGTCATTCAAGATAAAAAGCTTCCGGTGACATGGCCACCTCGAGGTCGCATAAAACCAATAAAAGGAAAGAACCAATTTTGTGACTTTCATCGGGGATACGGGCATGACACCGAGGAATGCGAAAAATTGGGAAGATCCATCGAGGGACTGATTCAAAATGGGCAACTTAAGCAGTTCATCCAAAGTTCCAAAGGCTCAATCCAACAACCTTCGTCATCGGACAAAGGAAAAGCTCTACAAGGAAGCGGACCTGTGTTAGGGGTCGTCCCAGTCATACATGGAGGAACTGGACTACGACAGGAATTGTCCACCTCTCGTAAGACGTATGCTCGAACTTTGGTTGGCTCCACCTCCACTATCTCAGATCAAAATCCTATCATTTTTGATTCCCGAGATCTCGAGGATATCGAACATCCCCATGATGATCCTCTGGTGATTGAGGCTACCATCGCCAACTACACAGTAAAACGAGTTCTCATTGACGGAGGGAGCTCAGCCGACCTACTTTTTTACCCCGCTTTCTGCTCATTGGGTTTTCGCTTGGATCGGTGTCAACCTTCCAGTGTCTTTCTTTTAGGCTTCTCTGGCAACCAAGTCCCGGTACTTGGAATTTTACCCCTTCATGTTCGCATCGGCAATGGCGACCAAGCAATCGAGACATTGGTTAACTTTCATGTGGTGGAATGTTCCTCTGCATACAATGGAATTCTTGGAAGACCCTTTCTACATCAAGCTCACGCCATCCCTTCTACGCTTCATCTCAAATTGAAGTTCCCTACTCCGTCCGGGGTAGGTTGTGTCCGAGGGGATCAAGCAATCGCCAAGCAATGTTGTGCATTTTCCCTTAAAGATAAACATGTCACTACTGTTGACACTCGAGAAGAGGTAGCTCGCCCTGTGCCAGTCGACCTTGATGAGGAACAAGTTGTTCAAGATGGCCTTACCATCCGTGTCTCAACCGCTTGGCCTAAAGAAGCTCTTCCTCAACTTCTCAACTTAGTCCGAGAATTTAAAGAACTACTCGCCCAAGGTCCTGAAGACATGCCTGGACTTGATCGTCGGGTAGCTGAGCATGCCCTAGGAATTCTCTCAGGCTGTCTTCCTGTACAACAAAAGAGAAGGAACTTTGCATGGGAACGACGTCAAGTTGTTGCAGAAGAAGTAGTCAAACTCGCTCAGACAGGATTCATCCGAGAAATTCTCTACCCCACATGGCTGGCCAACGTTATTATGGTAAAACAAGCCAATGGGCAGTGGAGGATGTGCGTAGACTTCACTGACCTCAATAAGGCATGCCCAAAAGACCCATATCCTCTTCCCAAAATTGATCGATTGATTGATGCTACTTCTGGGCACCGCCTTCTTTCCTTCCTCGACATGTTTTCTGGTTATCACCAGATTCCCATGAAAAAAGAAGATCAAGAAAAAACAGCATTCATGACCCCAGTTGGTAATTATTGCTATAAGGTTATGCCTTTTGGCTTAAAGAATGCTGGAGCCACCTATCAACGAATGGTTGATCGTGTCTTCTCACGGGGTGGCGTATCCTTTATCAATAGTGATTTAAAACATCAAATAACAAATGAAATTAACAACTTAATCAATGGTTTGAGAAACTTACCTGGGACGTGTAAGTGCATGCATATGGCTAGCAAATTAAAATGCCAAAGCTCACCATGCTTGCTTCCACGTGTAAGAATATGGGATGGGCTTAGTATGAATTATTAAAAGGGTTAGTGATAAAAAATGACACCTTTAGTCTTACTAGTTTCCACGTGTAATTGGCTTGTTTAGGGTAAGTGGGAGACTAAGCTTAGTTCACATACACGTGTAACAAGGCAAAATAAGCATGTTAATTGTGTGCTTTAGGGTAAATTCTCCAACTTCTTAAGTAAGTGAGAAACACACTTGGTTTTCTACTTGTCAAGGAGTAGTACGAGGTGGGAAGATGAGCCATATTGCCCTTTCTCTTCCACGTAGCTTTATAGGTTTGGTTATGTGTGATAAAAAGGTGATGAGATTTTACCATATAGCATCCCTCTCTTACACGTGGATTGAATGGGGATGATGTTTACAGCTTAGTTGTGTGGGAGAGGGAAGTTGTGACTTGTGAGGGTTTATCAGTTGCCCCCTTACTAATAGGGATGAGAGGGATCCCTATTAGTAACTCTACTCATATAAATAGGGGAGAGCTTTCCCTTCACTATTCATTCCATTTTACCTTTCCTTCCTCATTCTGTTCCCTTTATCAGATTATGCAAGTGACAGAGGTTGCTCTACCTTCACAAAATCTCATGCTCGTGAGACATATTGGGTGAAAAATCATTTATCAATCCATATCTATCCTTCAGCCACCAAGTTGCTAGTTTTTCATCCATTGGTCAAGTGAAGTTCATTCTCGTCACACAATTCTGCACCCACCATTACCATTATTAATCATAGGTAATTCTTCCTTCCCACTATCTACGTAATGGCTGCCAAATTTACATGAAATTTGTTTATTTATCATGTTAATAATATTTATGTGTTATTATTTTTGTTCTTGGAGTTAGCATGTCAAAAGAAAAGTCCCATGCACCCGAACGCGAGGGATTATCTAATCTACCAATGCCTCTACGCTCAGTCCCATGTTCGGAGCCAGTTCGTGGGAGGGGTGAACAACTAGTCCCTGGGGAAGGATCGTCTGCCTCTAATCGTCGAGACACACCAACATTCTCTATCCGACCATGGCATGGTATGTTTCATTCCACATCTCATTTCTCAGAATGGGCTATGATAGGTCCGGGTGGACGTTTTAATCGTAATGAGAGTTGGGTACAAAGTACTCTGTTGCAATTTGATATGCCGCGCCACTGGGAGTACGCGGTCCCGACACGGTATACTACCCCAGGCAATCGTGGTGTGGGATGGAATGCTGCTTTAGCTGTGGTCGTGGCCTCCAGAAAGCTTCGCCCATACTTCCAAAGCCACTCTATATGTGTTTTCACACAATTGCCACTTCGAAAGCTTCTCCAACGTATGGATGTAGCGGGTCGAATGATCAACTGGGCCATTGAATTAAGTGAGTATGATATCACCTACCTCCCCCGTACATCCATCAAATCACAGGTGTTGGCTGACTTTGTGGCCGAAGGAGTTCATGTTACCACACCATCCGAGTCAGAAACTTGGAGGCTATTTGTGGATGGAGCTTCAAGCAAGTCCGGATCTGGAGCAGGAGTGCTTCTTATCAGTCCATTGGGTGTTACCCATGAGTTGGCTGTTCGTTTTACAACTCCAAGAACTAATAATGCCACAGAATACGAAGCCCTACTAGCTAGCTTAACAATGGCACAAGAATTAGGAGTTAAAAGAATCTTGATACACTCAGACTCTGCCCTTGTTGTCAATCAAGTTATGGGGGCATACGAGGCTCGTGAACCTGCCCTAACTGCCTACGTCAATGCTGCTCGAGCCATTATGACTAATTTTATACATGTTGAGATAAAACATGTATTACGAGAAGAAAATCTCCATGCGGATGCCCTCTCGAAGCTTGCCACGGCTCGAGACTTCCCTGAAGACAGGAATGTGGTAGTTGAGCGTCGCCCTCCTTTGTTGTGCGCTCCTATTATCTCATCATCACTCCCACAAGATTGGCGCACACCCCTCATGGAGTATCTCCAACATGACCTTCTACCCACTGACCCCAAGGAAGCCATGAAACTTCGGAGGCGTGCTCCTCGCTACCTCCTTATAGAAGGTGTACTCTACAAAAAAAGTTTTATGGGCCCGTACCTCCGGTGCCTTGGTGAAGAGGAAGCCAACTTTGCTATCCGTGAAACTCACGATGGATCATGTGGAATGCACGCTGGCCCACGAAGTCTCGAGAAGATCCTCCTCAGGCAGGGATACTATTGGCCCACTATGCGCCGAGACACGCGAGAGTATGTCAAATCTTGTATCAAGTGTCAAGTTGCCGCCCAAGTTCCACATGCACCACCTGGGCCCATGCAAGGAAATATTAGTCCATGGCCATTTGCCCAATGGGGAATGGATTTCCTGGGACCATTCCCTGAAGCCCCGGGACGAAAAAAATGGCTCATTGTCGCAATCGACTACTTCACCAAATGGGTAGAAGCGAGAGCCATCACTGGACTCACTGCCCAACAAGTCGAGAAATTCTTGTGGGAAAATATCATTTGTCGCTTTAGTCTTCCCCACACCATCATACTCGATCAAGGGACACAGTTCACAAGTGAAAGTCTTCAAACATACTGTGCACGGTATGGCATCCTCCTCCGTTATGCTTCTGTCCCCTATCCTCAAGCTAATGGACAAGCAGAGTCAGCCAATAAAAACATCCTCTGGGGGCTAAAAACTCGACTGAATGAAGCAAAAGGAAAGTGGGCGGAAGAACTTTCTCATGTTCTTTGGGCCCATCGCACGACCTATAAAACAGCCACAGGGGAGTCACCCTATGCCCTCACCTTTGGCCTAGATGCAGTAATTCCTGTGGAAACTGAGCTTTCCTCCTACCGCATTGAAACATTTCACCCTAACGATAATCAACAGGAGCTCGTTCATGACCTCCATCTCATTGAAGAACGTCGAGAAGACGCTCTCCTCAGAATGATAGCCATGAAGGCACGTGTAGCTCGTTACTACAATACCAAAGTAAAGCAGCGACCAATATGTGAAGGTGAATGGGTTCTCCGCCGCAACTTTTACCACAAAACAAGCTTAGGAAAGTTCAATCCACCATGGGAAGGACCCTACAGAGTACGCAAAGTGGTCGGTCCAAACACTGTCAAGCTTTCTGATGCTAGTGGCCGAAATATTCCCCGCACCTGGAACACCATGCACCTTCGAAGGTACTTTACGCCATAATATGTATCGAGTATGCCATAATACGTACATAGTGTATGCCATAATATGTATTACGTGTTTGTTGCGACATGTACAAAAGGTTTGAAATAAAATGGTGATACGTCACCACCTAGTTTTATTAAAAACCGCTATATGTACAACGCAAAATGCACGGTTACATATCTATGACGAACTACTAATGTACATAGGCAAGATATGCTGCTACATAAACATGGCACACATAGGTAATATATCCGAATATCTTTGCGGAGCAAGATACTACCTGTACAGAGAAAAGTTTGCTACCACCGCAAGCTACACTATCTCACATAGGAGGACCGAAGCCAAGTATTTCATTCACCCAGGCGTTCTCAGCAGACATCGCCAGCTCTGACGGGATCGGGCTATCCATAGCAGCAATAAATGATTGATCCGCAGAAGCCGTATCAAATATCGGGGTTGAAATGAAAGGCTCAATCTCCAGGTTATCACGATGCATCACCACCTCCTCGGATGGAACTCCTTCAATTCTGGTATCCGCCTCTCTTGGGACACGTGCCTCGTCAGACTCAGCCTCTGGAAATATGTCACGTGAACCCACTAAGAGCATGGCGCCTCCTGAGGTTTCCCCCACCGACTGTTGCACTTGATGTTGCAGTCGTACTGTCTCTGCACGAGCTTCATCACGCTCTGCCATAAGAACTTCATGCTCAGCAGCATGATCCTCCTTGAGTCTCGTCATCTCCTGTAGCAATGCTGCTCCTGAGGCTTCCAATTCTTGTAGCCTCTCTGAAGTGATCATTTGGCGATTTCGAACTTCGCGGAGGAGTGCCTCAACCTCGTTAGCACGACCCTTTGCTTCTTCCACTTTCCTAGTTTGATTACGAAGATCATGCTCTACGCGTACAACATTTTGTTGAGCTGTCATAACTTCTTCCCTTGCTCTTGCTACGCGCCTCTCCATCTCGGCGGCGTATTGATTCATCTGCAGGAAACACTAAGGTTAGTTAACTCATCACAATTTACGTTAACTAATTAACAATAAAGTTACCTGGTTTTGCGATAACGCAAAGGAAACACCGGCAGCCTCGCCTTCAAGGGGAGGAAATTGATTCCCGATATCACGCAAGGTTTGGTAGTTCATAACAAGTGGGACATCTGTCCTTCCTCTACCAGGGGTGCCTTGACCACCTTGGCGATGGGACTCTGAGTTATGATATGCTCTCGCCTTCTGAAAACGACTGTGCTCGCCCCCGCGGGCAGAATGACTCGAGCTACTAGCCTCGAATTTCCTTCTTGAATCATAATTCTTGCCTCGATATGGAGAGGAGCGACGCACTCGTTTGTTTTGACCACCAATCGAAGTCGTCATTGCTGGTTCGGGCTCCTCGGAAATTTCACGGATCACCACACCACTTTGAGGACGGGGGGCTGGCGGCGGTAATCTCGCAGTAAATAGGGAATTCTCTTGAATTTCCATGCATGCTCTAAAATGCGAGTAGGCTGCAAAAACAAAAACGAAAAACATATAGGTAATAAGGAATCACTCAAATATTAACAAACAATACCCAAACGTACCATCATTATAGACCGTGAAAAAGAGGATAGCCCGAGCCTCAGGAGTCTCAACGTTAATCCGCCCTCCTTCTGATATCCTTTTTACTTTGGCGGCTAGATCTCTTTGTACTACGTATTCTCCACGTACTGCTTGTCTGTGAAGTCCTTCCAACTCGATATCCCTCCATTCAGTAGGGATCATAACACCCTCAGATGAAAGTTCACCTGAAGCTGGAAAGAAATAGAAAAACTCACGTTCCCAACCCCGGTCTGCACGACCATATGGAGTCACGAGGCCAAGCGCATTAGATCTACTATGAAGAGACCATCCAGTAGCTTCACCACGAAGGTAGAAGCATGCATAAAAAAGTTCTACTGAGGGTGACACACCGGCCCTGTGACAACCCAAACGAAAAGCAGCAACAAGTGTCCAAAATCCCGGTGTCACCGTGCTTAACGTCAAATGAGATCTCCGCATCACATCACATAGCCACGTCGGAAATGGTAAACGAAGCCCATAATCGAGGGATGCTCGATATACAGCATGCCATCCCACACCACGATTGCCTGGGGTAGTATACCGTGTCGGGACCGCGTACTCCCAGTGGCGCGGCATATCAAATTGCAACAGAGTACTTTGTACCCAACTCTCATTACGATTAAAACGTCCACCCGGACCTATCATAGCCCATTCTGAGAAATGAGATGTGGAATGAAACATACCATGCCATGGTCGGATAGAGAATATTGGTGTGTCTCGACGATTAGAGGCAAACGATCCTTCCCCAGGGACTAGTTGTTCACCCCTCCCACGAACTGGCTCCGAACATGGGACTGAGCGTAGAGGCATTGGTAGATTAGATAATCCCTCGCGTTCGGGTGCATGGGACTTTTCTTTTGACATGCTAACTCCAAGAACAAAAATAATAACACATAAATATTATTAACATGATAAATAAACAAATTTCATGTAAATTTGGCAGCCATTACGTAGATAGTGGGAAGGAAGAATTACCTATGATTAATAATGGTAATGGTGGGTGCAGAATTGTGTGACGAGAATGAACTTCACTTGACCAATGGATGAAAAACTAGCAACTTGGTGGCTGAAGGATAGATATGGATTGATAAATGATTTTTCACCCAATATGTCTCACGAGCATGAGATTTTGTGAAGGTAGAGCAACCTCTGTCACTTGCATAATCTGATAAAGGGAACAGAATGAGGAAGGAAAGGTAAAATGGAATGAATAGTGAAGGGAAAGCTCTCCCCTATTTATATGAGTAGAGTTACTAATAGGGATCCCTCTCATCCCTATTAGTAAGGGGGCAACTGATAAACCCTCACAAGTCACAACTTCCCTCTCCCACACAACTAAGCTGTAAACATCATCCCCATTCAATCCACGTGTAAGAGAGGGATGCTATATGGTAAAATCTCATCACCTTTTTATCACACATAACCAAACCTATAAAGCTACGTGGAAGAGAAAGGGCAATATGGCTCATCTTCCCACCTTGTACTACTCCTTGACAAGTAGAAAACCAAGTGTGTTTCTCACTTACTTAAGAAGTTGGAGAATTTACCCTAAAGCACACAATTAACATGCTTATTTTGCCTTGTTACACGTGTATGTGAACTAAGCTTAGTCTCCCACTTACCCTAAACAAGCCAATTACACGTGGAAACTAGTAAGACTAAAGGTGTCATTTTTTATCACTAACCCTTTTAATAATTCATACTAAGCCCATCCCATATTCTTACACGTGGAAGCAAGCATGGTAAGCTTTGGCATTTTAATTTGCTAGCCATATGCATGCACTTACACGTCCCAGGTAAGTTTCTCAAACCATTAATTAAGTTGTTAATTTCATTTGTTATTTGATGTTTTAAATCACTATTGATAAAGGATACGCCACCCCGCCAGGAGCAGGATGCGCCTATAAATAGGTCGTTCATTTCTGCTTCCTCGGCGATCCATCTCAATTCCAGGGAACTCATTTTCTCTGAACGAGATAGGAAAAGGGGAATTCCCGACGAACTTCTTCTCGGCGAATTGGCAACTTCCAACCCCAAAATTTCTCTTTCTTTCTCCCTAGACCCGGTTCTATACACCGCTCCCTGTTATTTCCAAGTACTGACTTGAGCTTTGGAGAAGGTCCCAGCCGACCACAACCGGCGGGTCCTCTTTTGCAGGTATTCATCTCGAAAGCTGGAATCCAACGGAAAATCAAAAGGTCAACGCTCTCCGGACTCTACAGCGTACGAGGTCGGCTATTTTAGCTTGGCATCAACAAAATCAAAATGTAAAATCAGGTTCATCTTCACCCGTTTACATGTCCTTGTCGTACAAATTGATTGACATATCGAAAAATGGTTTTGAACCAACATATCAAACTCAATCTCATCTCATGATTGTTGAAACCAATCATGTTGATTAGTAGGAGTTTTAAGACTAGTGGTTAACCAGGGTAAAACGTTCACAAAACCATCACTTAGACTAACTCCAACCTTAAAAAGCAGTTTTAAACTTCCAAAACTCTCAAAAGTGCATTTTTAGCTTCCCAAAACACATTTCTACTCTAACCCTACAAGCTTCCGAATTAGCTTCTCACCTCCTTTTTTTAAAATTTATTTCAATATACCAAACTTATTTTCCCTTTAGTTTTTAGGTTCGACTTTAATTTTTTTATAGTTCGTTATTAATTTTGACAAAAAATTCGATGTAATTTTTTAGATTACAAAACAAAAAAATCCTGAAATTAGTAGTTAATTTTCTACGGTTAACTTTAAGAACACTCCAAATATGACCTTTTTGTAGTCGTTACTTTATGACTGTTTTTGTCATTTTGTGTAGTATATGGCTTTATAAATGTAAGTTCTTCATTTGTCATCAACTTATTTGAAACTTCTCCCCATTTCTAAAAAAAACACATTCATCATTAGTATATAAGATAGCTCATATTTTGGATGAGACGAAGAAATGGAAGAGTACAATAGGTACTGCCACCTACGTTTGAGTTTAATCGGTCGGAGCCTGGCTTAAGGTTCATCAAGTCGCCATCAAACTACAAGCCGAACTCAGATCAATCAAAATCTAGTATACAATGCTTGCATACTTAGAAGGCACTATCAGATGTAGCCAAGGTTATTCCATCGCATTATGGCTGACATTGTGAAATTTGACTCCATATTTGTGTTAAGACGTGATGTCGTTGGTCAAGTATCACTATCTCCATAGCATAAGCTTACAGGTGCAATGCTCATACTAGCATATGATTCTCCCTTAAATCACCTAATTCGTGACCTCAAGGCCTGTGATCCCGCACCAAAGCACAAAAGTGTCAATTTTTAGTCAGTCGCCCATACTTCAGGAACTTTATTTTCTTGGAGCACGAATTTGGTTATTATAAAGCACTAAATAAAATTAACCAACAACTGCAACTCCAAGAGACTTCATAATTTCAATTATCTAAAGTTGAGGCGTGACTCATTCCTAACTACATAATTAAATCCCGACTAACACCCAAGTGCAAACTCTAGTAGGGTGTAGTATAGGGCAAGTGTTTTAAATGTCTGGTTTCTGCTAAATGTGAAAGTGAGTGTTGGAGGTAGTTTTTAAAGTGAGCAATGTTTTCAAAGTTCAAAGAATGTGGCATGTCTTATCTAGCTCTCTTATAGTGCTCAAGAAAAAAATAGAAAGAAAGAGAAAATGAAGAAAAAGAAGTGAAAAAAGAAAGTAATAACAAGGGAAAATAAGAAAAGTGAGTTGCCACAAAATGTTGTTTATGCTCTTAAAAAGTGTTTCTTGGCAGTCAAGCTATTGAGGCACTTACATGTTTGTTTACCTCCTTCACTCTTGTGCTTAAACAGTTTGATATCAGATGTAGCATAAAAAAAGTGTGTGTTGAATGTTGTTTGTGATTGGTTGTGTTTTGGAATGGCGGGATGTGTGGCCATTGGTTGTTGTGAGTGGTCTTGTGTTGGTATGCTTGGTTTTTGTATGAATTGTGGAACCTCATGCTATACATGAGAACTCTTCCTTTACACAGTTCAAATACGTACATTAGAATGTCATTTGTGGTGGTTGGCAGGATTGATGTTGATGCTGTTTATATGTGGGTGCCTAATAGCCGTTGCAATTCACTTGTTTTGTGCCACTATGACATGCTCTTAAAGTTTCAAGAAATAAGTTGTAAGCTTACCTTATGTTGTACTTTGTTTGCTTGTTTCAAGCGTGGGGAGTTTGAGCACGCCAATAGGGAGATAGAAGATATCACCAACGATGGTTCAAAAATCATTGGTGTAGAGCTTCACTTCCTTCTTGAGAGATGCTAACCCATGCCTTTTGGATAGAGTATTTAAAGGGTTGTTTATTGAAGTCTAGCCTAAGACTCTATTTATAAACTTATAGGAAGATGTTTTCTAGGATTTTTCCTCCTAAAAGTCAGCCAAAACCTTCTTTGTAAGACTTAAACTCGGATTTCCTTTCTTGGGGACGAAGAAATGATCTTTTGGAAGCTTTCCACAAGCTTAGGCCCTTGTGGCAGTGAGATGGCGGTGGTAACCGAACTCGCCACTGGCATTTCTTATCCAAACCGGCCCCTTTTTGCCGAAAACTTCATCTTGGGCCATTGACATGCTCCCAAATTTTAGCTCGTTTAGACTTCGTTATGCTTTTCAAATTACATTCTTTGGGCCTTCAAATGAGCATCTGATGTCCAAATCCATCTCTGTTTGAGGCCATGAGCTTGTAGTTACATCCTCCTTCTAATACATTGGATCGATTGGTGAACCATCTTCGTCTCGAGTGCATTAAATCCCTAAAAAGCACAACATAACACTGAAAGGCGTATACAAGAAACATCACCTTTTGCGATGGAATAATTTGTCACTAAAGGTTAAAAATTTCGACGCGTAAAGTTTAAATTTCTTCGCGTAAAGTTTATGCAACGGAAATATTCGTCGCCAAAAATATATGCCTTGTACATCGAGTGTCATCAGAACTTCTTCAAGGTAAGCTTCTTATACATCGAGTGGACTGAGAAAGATGAGTTTGAATTCAGCTTCCAAGTTAACATGCAAGGGGTAACCAAAATCATGTGAGATAACACAATCAAAAGACCTAACCTCTCACGCTCACCCCCATGAAAATAGTTGGTATCTCACGCCCCACATTTACATTATCAAAGGATATAAACTCAAAACCCACTCACCCAAGGTAGAAGAGGCGACAATGACTCTTGGAAACACATCCCTCAGAATCATCCCCCATATCCAGTAGTAATCCAAAAATGTAACCACGTTCATCATCCCTGATCGACAGAAGCCATCCTTTTTCGTAATTATGGTCCACATTGACCACCCCACTTTTTACATACACAACCATACCTCCAACTAAAAAATGGATGGAGAAATTTAAGCCGAACAAGTTCCCTCCACCAGAACCTAGTATTTTTGTGGAGACATAACATGAATGAACACTACTATTGGTATGAGCTTTTTGCTTATTGGTTAACTCTTGACCACCATATCGGTTAGTGGTCAACTGAAACAGAACCAATTAGCACCTCTTCTAAACTTTAGTTCAACCATAAACCTACTTTACCAACACTTCTTCTAGGATTGCAAGAACAAAGTGCGAGGAGATTCCAATGCCTTGCTCCTTGGTTTGCTCATGAAGGTTCCCCCCCCCCCTTGTTGTCTATATTCTAGAATTCCGAAAGTGATTTCAAGGAACAGAGGAGTTTATAAAATGGAACACAAAGACTTTTGGAAACATCTTTAGGCACAAAAAAGAAGAAGTTATATGCACTGAAGTTCATGTAATTGCTCAATGAGAAGCAGTTGAGTATGAGCTCTTGAATCAAGGAATAAGAGACCAGAGAGGAGTTGGAAAATACCCTATTAGAAAGAGGAGCTAATTTAGAGGAAGAATTCAAGAGCCAACTAGGTGGTTCACAGAGACCAAAACACATGATTCTTCCACACCAACACACTTAGCATAATGAAGCACAACAAGATCATGGGCCCAAGAGATGATAAGGGAGAATGAATTACTGATCCAGATCTCCTTCAATCCATATCTAGGGACTTCTTTGTCAAGCTCTATACAAGGAAGGAGAACCATGCCAGACCCACCATTCCAGAAGATTTCCCTACTATCAAAGGAAGCTTTCTAGCCAGATTGAGTGTGTTGCCTAGCCATGATGAGATCAAAGCAACAGTCGGGGACATGAATGGACTGAAAGCTCGGGAAAAGACTGGTTCCATGCCATCTTCTAGCAGAAATGTTGGGAGTTTATTGCTGTTGACTTTACCAATTTCGTTTGTTCTTACTTTAAGAATCCTAATAACATCTAGAGTGTTCATGAAAGTCTTCTGGCTTTAATCCCCAAAGTCGTGGCCCCTATTGGGTGCTATCCTATAGCTTTGTATCAGCTAAATTCATGAGTTTGAGATAAGCGGACTCGAATGGTTGATATTCGTCACAGGGTAAACCATTGCCTCTCGAGCCCCCGACTGATTCTACCATAGAGGCCAATAAGTCAATAGACCAATTTAGGTCAATTAGCCTTTGTAATGTGGTGTATAAGGTGGTGACAAAGAGCTTGGATAAAAAGCTAAAGTTCCTGATACCACACCTTGTCCACCCAAACCAGTCAAACTTTGTTCCAAAGAGACACATAACTTATAATATCAATATGTTGCAGGAAACAGTACACTCATTGGCTAGGAAATCAGGGAGGAAAAAAGCATGCTTCTTAAGGTGGACCTGACTAAAGCGTGATGTCGTATCAACAAGAAATTTATGGAGGAAACACTGACTGAAGCATGTTTCTAAATGATTTTGTCCGACTCATTATGGCATGTGTGACAACAACAAGCTTCCAAGTGCTTTGCAATGAAGGGGAAATAGAAAGCTTTAGGCCTTCACAAGTCCTGAGATAAGGATGCCCTCGCTCCCCTAGCATTTTCACCTTGTGTATGGAAAGACTTAGCCATTGCATCCTATAAGAAGATAAGAACAAAACTGGGTCCATATGAGACTGTTTGTAGGAGGTCACGACTTATCCCATTTTCTTTGTTGATGACAGTTTTGTTTTTGGAAGCTAATCCCACACATGTTGAGGTGGTGATGTCGTGTCGTGAAAGATTTTGTGCTACCTCAGAGAAACTTATTATTAGAGAGAAATCCATAATCATTTTCTCTAAGAACACCAAGAGTAATCTCTGAATCGAGATATGTGGTAGACTAGGGATCAAAGAAACCTCTAACCTAGCCAAACATCTAAAGAACAAAGGTCTGGTTATTATTGTCAATCAAGCTGAGAAACGAGCAAAGAAGATGGCCACACAAGCAGCAAAAGTACATAGTCTACAACAAACAGATAGTGCGACAACCTCCATTGGAAGGGTGGAATCAAATCCTAAAAAACAGATCAGTGCAACCATCCTCTGGGAAAGCTGCTGCTGATGGACTTCTATTGAATCACCTGGCTCGATGCAACATGACTTTTGTTTACAATCTTGCTAAATGTTCAATAACGGGAGCAGAACTCAAAGGGTCACTTAAATGGCTAAATCCGGCATGGAATGAGGGACACAGAAAGGTGGATGTCAATCTCGACTCTAGTACTGCGGTTTAATTATCAAGAATTTCTTTGATGATGATCACATGCATGGTCTGCTTGTGGATAAATTGAAGTACCTTTTGAACCTTAATTGGGAGGTCACTATTAAGCATGTACATATAGAGTCAAACTTTACGGTAGACTACCTCACATTTGTAGGCTATTGTTCTTACTTTTGACACACATTCCTTCAAATGTATATCATAATTCTTTGAAATCTCACATGCCCATTCATTCTCTTATATGGATTAGCCGCATAAGCGTAAGTATTTTCACCAAGAAAAACTAACTACCGCGCCTGGATATTAAAATTTGGGGGACGTCACTATTGTCTAAAAATGGAGTTTGGGAGAGAAAGAGAAAGAGAGGCGAATCTAGTCTAGTCTAGTTCAGGGGAAAGGACGGAATGGGAAAGGGGAGGGCGGTCGACGTGTCAGCTCCAGATTCCTGCTCAATGGGGAACAACTGAACAAGAACACGCACCCGAGTCCAAAACACCAAACACACATCATTATCCATCTTCCCACCATCAATCAGGCCGGGCGTTAGTTTGGTTTGCAGTTTCTAGCAACTTTGTACCGTCCGAAACCCCCAGGCCACAGCCAATACACTAGTCGGTTGTCACTTGGTCAATTTATGCTCTACTTTTTAGGCCTTTCTTCTTTAATTATCTGCATTCATGATTGCCAGTGGAGGAAACTCGGATCATTTTTTCTTCCAGCCTTTTGCTTTTGTGTTCCTCCGACTCCAGTTCAGCCAAATATTTTAGAATAATACATTTTATTAAAAAGGAATAGGAGGGGGAGCAGAAGAAAAAGGAGAAACCCACAGAAAATGGTGGGGGAAGGGTTTTTACTACTGCTCTCTCCTAGTCATATCTAACTGTATTTAATCCCTCTTTGACATGGAACAAAACCCTAAGGGTTCTTGTAAGAACCAATCGCCGCCAGATTGATCTCAGCCGTCAAACCCCTCTCTTTCATTCTTCCTTCCTTCCTTCCCCCTTTGCTTTGCTTGCTTTCTTCACTCTGTTACTCCCAGGAAATTGTTTTCACTCGGAAAGCCAAGCAACCCACTTCCTCTGATTCTGTTGCTTGCTGGGTTCTTGCTCTTTTCCCATGTTTTGGCTGCTGGCTGTAGCTGGTGCTTTTCTACGGGGCAAGGTCTCCAAAGTTGTCTGCTTTGGGTTGTGAATTTGGCCGTGGAAGAGAATAATAAACCCTCCCCTGTTTCGGATTCCTCTCTTATTTTCTTGGGTTTTGAATTAAAAAGAAATGTTTTCTTTTATTTTAGGGGTTTGGTAGGTTAGGATGGTTGATAATTAGTTTTATCATCATTTCAGTGTAGGTGATGGAAACGTTTTGATTTTTGGCTTCATTTTCTGGTCTTAGGTTGCTGTTCTTTCTCCTCTCATGCTTTTCTGTAACAAAACCCCCGAAAGTTGCAGTCTTTGAACCAGTAAATATGGGGGTTTAGCTCCGGCGGAAAGTTTTTGATTTTGTTTCGTTTCGTGGGTGTTGATCATTTCCGAGGTTCGCTGTAAGTGGGTAAATTATCAATTCTGGAATTTGAAAAACCATGTTATCTGAATTGGGAAGGAGACCGATGATAGGAGCTAGTGATGGATCATTCGGTGATGATTTAGAGAAGGAAATCGGGTTGTTGCTCCGTGAGCAGCGCACTAGACAGGAAGCCGATGATCTTGAGAGGGAGCTCAATTTGTATAGAAGTGGGTCTGCTCCACCCACTGTTGAGGGTTCGCTCAACGCCGTCGGCGGGTTGCTGGGTAGTTCGGCGCTGCCTCACGGTGGAGTAGGAGCCGGTGCAGGAGGAGCCGCCGCCGCTGCCTTTTCGGACTTCGCTAGTGGTAAAAATGGCTTTATGAACGAGGAGGAGCTTAGGTCTGACCCCGCTTATTCAGCTTACTATTACTCAAACGTGAATTTGAACCCTAGGCTGCCCCCTCCTTTGATATCAAAGGAAGATTGGAGGTTTGCTCAGAGAATGAAAGGAGGAGGGAGTTCCGTTGTAGGTGGGATTGGAGATAGGAGGAAAGCGAGTAGGGCAGATAATGGGAGTGGGAGGTCATTGTTTGCTATGCCACCTGGTTTTGATTCGAGGAAGCCGGAGAATGACAGCGAGCAGGAGAAGGTTCACAACTCCTCTAGTGAATGGGGTGGGGATGGACTGATAGGTTTACCAGGGTTAGGGCTTGGGACTAAACAGAAGAGTCTTGCTGTTATCTTTCAGGTGATTGATTATATCTTAATTGCCTGGTGCACTCAGTCATTCGACTACCCTTGAAATTGCTTCTGATATATTTTTTGATGGTACATGGGCTGTAATTGATTGATTTTCATGAGCTGCGCATTGTGCAATTTACATGTTCTTGTTTTCATTTGAATTTGCAATGGTTATGCATTTCCAAAGTATTCTAGTTTGGGGGAAGCATTTTTATGTAGTGTACCGCGTTGTTTGATTTCCTTTCCCTGTATTGCTTTGTTGAGGTGCCGTGAAGATGCTTTGTGATGCTGATGAGTTAACTGTTCTGATTTCTTCTATGTGCATTCTTTTATCTGTAGCCAGTTTTGAGGTGCAGGATGTAAATGCGGATTATGAATGAGAAATCTTGTCACTGTTTCTTTCTTGTGAACTCTAATAATGTTTGTGTGCTAATTGAGTGGTTATTTGCAACATTTTGAAGGTACTGGCTGTTAAATGTCTGTCAGAGTTGCTATATTCTATTGCTCCTTCAGAAGGAATGTGTTCCTAATGTTTCTCACCTTGCTGTGTATTTGTTGTTTACCCTTGTATTATTCTAATTGTTTGGGGGTGTTCTTGCAAATGTGTAGGGTGACATGGATCGGGTAACTCCTATTGTTGGCCATCCTTCTCGCCCTTCTAGTCGCAATGCGTTTGGTGAAAATGTAGAGAGCATGAATGCAGCTGAAGATGAGCTAGCTCACTTGCGGCGTGAGTTGTCTTCTACAGATCCTGTAAGGTCAGGTGTCAATGGCCAAGGTTCTTCTGCTGTAACAAGTGTTGGTCAAGCTTCGTCTTACTCTTATGCAGCTGCTCTTGGTTCCTCTTTGTCTAGGAGTAACACTCCTGATGCTCAACTTGTAGCTAGGGCTCCCAGTCCTTGTCCTACACCCATAGGGCAAGGGAGGAATTCTGCATCTGAAAAGAGAGGGGCTACTAGCTCTAACTCATTTAATGGCATCCCCACCAGCATCAATGAGTCTGAAGATCTTGTTGCTGCTTTAACTGGTATGAACTTAAGTAATGGTGTAGAAGAAGAAAACCAATTTCCATCCCAGATGGGGCAGGGTGCTGATAACCACCACCAGAACTATTTATTTGGTCTCCAAGGAGGTCAGAACCACTTGAAGAATCAGAATGCTTATTTTCAGAACTCGGACTCTGGGCATTATCAAATGCCTTCTGTTTCTCAAGCTGGAAAGATGTCATATGCAGGTTTAGGCAAGAGCAATGGTGGTAGGTCAGACTTCAACAACTCATCCTTTGGGGATAGGCATGTCGACATGCAAAAGTCAGGTGATCGTCATGGTAATAATTCTTATCTTAATGGGTCACCTCCAACAACTCATAATAGCCGAAGTGGCTTGCACACTTACCAACATATGGATAGCATGAACTCATCACTTCTGAACTATGGAATGGATGGGTATTCTGTTAACCCAGCTCTGGCTTCTGTGATGGCTGCTGGTCAACTTGGCTCTGGAAATCTCCCACCGTTATTCGAAAATGTTGCAGCAGCATCAGCCATGGGTGTCCCTGGTCTGGATTCAAGGGTCCTTGGAGGAGGTATGGGATCCGGAGTAAGTCTAACAGGTGCGAATCCTGAATCACGCAATCTTGGAAGATTAGGGAGCCCTATTAGTGGAAGTTCCCCTCAGCCACCATATGTTGATCCTTTGTATCTACAGTACCTGAGGACACCTGAATATGCTGCTGCAGCCCAACTTGCTGCTTACAATGATCCCACTGGTGAAGGGAACTATTTGGGCAACTCCTATATGAATTTACTTGAATTCCAAAAAGCTGCCTATGCTGGAGCTATGCTGTCCCCACACAAATCACCGTATGGCGGCCCTGTGGGTGGTAAATCTGGCAGTTCTAATCTCCATAACTACTATGGAGGTCATGGTTATGGTGTTGGTGGCATGTCATATCCTGGGAGTCCTCTTGCAAGTCCTGTTATTCCGAACTCCCCTGTTGGGCCAGGTAGTCCAATTAGACACAATGATCTGAATATGAGGTTTGCTTCTGGTATGAGGAGCTTGGGTGGTGGTGGTATAATGGGTCCATGGCACTTAGATGGAGGAGTGGACGAAAGCTTTGCATCCTCACTTCTAGAAGAGTTCAAGAGTAATAAAACCAAGTGTTTGGAACTTTCAGAAATTGCAGGTCATGTTGTTGAGTTCAGGTAATCTTTAGTCTAAAACCAAGTTAGTCTTCTTCTATCATTGTTTTCCACACTCTATTGGCTTATGCAACTTTGAATACCTTTTTATGAGCAGTGCTGATCAATACGGGAGCCGATTCATCCAACAGAAGCTAGAGACAGCCACAATAGATGAGAAGAACATGGTGTATGAGGAAATCATGCCGCAAGCTCTTGCTCTGATGACTGATGTGTTTGGTAATTATGTTATCCAAAAGGTAATTGGCCCCACGTTCATTTGTTTCCTAAATTTTCTGTTTCGCGAGTGCTTTCTAGTTCTAACTATGGTAACATTTGGATTGCTTCTTTTGCAGTTTTTTGAGCATGGGCTGCAGTCACAGAGAAGGGAACTAGCTGCCAAGTTACTTGGTCATGTTTTGACGCTTAGTCTTCAAATGTATGGATGCCGGGTGATTCAGAAGGTATAGCTGTGATGAGTGGTTGTTTGCTCAGTATCGTAATAATGCTTTACTTCTTCTTTCTTGGTAGACGGAATCAGTTTAGTACCGAGAAAAATTAAGGAGAATAGTATATCATTCAGCATTAGCATTTCCAATTTTGAAGTCCTTTATTTTTTTTAGTTTCATTATGTGGTTAGTGGTAACCTTCTCAGTTGAACCATAATAAATAAATAAATTGACTAAGGGTTGAAAAGATGGATGTCTAATTTACTATACTGGCTCTAATCGCTTGTTCCTCATTCAGGCAATTGAGGTTGTTGACCTGGACCAGAAGATCAAAATGGTTGGAGAGCTTGAGGGTCAGGTTATGCGCTGTGTCCGTGATCAGAATGGAAACCATGTCATCCAAAAGTGTATTGAATGTGTTCCTGAGGATAACATCCAGTTTATAGTCACAACATTCTATGATCAAGTAGTGACCCTCTCCACCCATCCTTATGGTTGCCGTGTGATACAGGTTTAAAGAAAATTACTTGTCTTGTTTGTTTTGCTACTATGGAGAACATCTTGGAGACATGTACATAACATGTGTTTATGATGTCCAGAGGATTCTGGAACATTGCGAGGACCCAAACACGCAGAGTAAAGTCATGGATGAGATCCTGGGAGCTGTCAGCATGCTAGCACAAGATCAGTATGGCAATTATGTTGTTCAGGTTTGTGATCTTTAGCCCAAAAAATTTTCTGTTGAAGATTGCAAATGTCGTGGGATTTTTGTTTCATTTGCATTGTCATTCACTATTTTTTTTTTTTTTGGTTGTCTGTAGTTATGTACTGTATGTGTTCGTTTCGGCATAGAAAAATATCGATTTCAAAGTTGATACAAACACACTTCTTTCATTTAACAGATAGAAACACTATTCATGTCCCCCCTCTTTTCGTACTAATTTTGTTATTATCATTAAACAAATGCGCACTATAAATTCAAAGCTGCCAGCGGCTGTACCTCTAGAGTCTGGACCTTATTTGCCATGCTCTCTTGCAACTAGCAGGAATACCTCTGAATTGTTCTCCTGTCCCTGGCGTTGTAGGACATGGATAATTGAATCTTGCCTTGCATAGCTATTTAAATGCTGGTTCCGAGTCATTTCAAAAGAATCTTCCCTCTACTGACGGAAGCTTTCTTCCCCATCTACATATGTTATAACTCTGGCCTTTGTTTTTGGTCGGTTGAACAGCATGTACTGGAGCATGGAAAGCCGCATGAACGAACTGCTATCATTAAGGAGTTAGCCGGGAAGATAGTCCAGATGAGTCAGCAAAAGTTTGCATCGAATGTTGTCGAGAAGTGCCTGGCATTTGGCGGTCCTGATGAACGGCAGCTGCTGGTGAATGAGATGCTGGGGACTACAGATGAGAATGAGCCTCTTCAGGTTTGGGAAAATTTTCCTTCCTCTTTCTCCTTCCCTTGCATGTGTAAATACAATACAAGTAAAAGGGCAGGCAATGTGCTTATTTGTCTCTCTACCTGTTTCTCCTAGGCTATGATGAAAGACCAGTTTGCAAACTACGTGGTACAGAAGGTGCTGGAGACTTGTGACGATCAGCAGCGCGAGCTGATCATGACACGAATCAAAATCCATCTCAATGCACTGAAGAAGTATACGTATGGGAAGCACATTGTTGCTCGCGTTGAGAAACTTCTTGCTGCTGGAGGTAAAGTATAAACTCAGGAAAAAAAAACTGCAACTTTTTCTTCCTCTTGTCGTCTGACTACCTTGATCATAACTGCTTCAATTTTCGTGGTTGCAGAAAGGAGAATCGCTGCACAGTCTCTGCACCCACCACAGGGGGCTGTGTAGAGCTAAGAAGGGAAAGAAACAACGCTAAAGAGTGGGAACTCCTTTGTCTGTACAGCTAACTGAGGCTAGTGTGAGCTTCTTTGCATCTTCTTTGGTGGTGATGATGACGATTGAAGATAATAAAGTTGTAGCGTTGTATCGGTGAGCGAGGATAGCGAGAGCGAGAAACTGTACATTTTGTAGTTGTAAGGGTCGTCTGTCTGTCTATACATACGGTCGAAAGCTGAGCTGATTGCCATCCCAACAAGAACAACCGCCACCTTATATGGAGAGGACATAACGGCGAATCAATATGTACGGAGTTTCAGGTAGGGTGTAAAAAAGAGAAGGAAGCAGGAAACGTTCAAGTCTATAAGGAAACGTGACTGTAAAGAAAAAAAAGAAACATGTTTGCTTTCGTTGAGAGCTCTTTAAGTTTAGTCTTCAGGCCTACTGAAGGCTTTCTTCTTCCAAATTTATCCCTAGTTTCTGCCTTCCTGTTCATATATCACTTCCTGCATTTTGCATTTGTCAGTCGTCCCAGCATGAGAAGTTTTGGCCAACTTTCTCAGCATCCAATGCACCAGTTTCTGGGATTGTCCCAAGAATTGGAAGTTCAAGAAATATAGAAACGCAGAATCGGACTATATTATTCTCCATATGCTCAGATGCAATTGGAAGTACAGGAAGTGCAAGTCTTACCAAGATTCATCAATTCGATCGAATCCTTCGAAACTCGACGGTTCACCGAATTTGGCGAGGAAGAGAATGGAGGTCGTGCTTCATTCACTGAGATGGTTTGAGGACAGGACGAGAGGGGAGAGGGTTTGTAATAGGGGAACTACTGGAAGACGCAATCAACACCGCTGAATGATGAGATTATCTTGATTCGTTGGTTTGGGGGATTGAATCAGGAAAACACTCTCTAAAATATCATAACGAGAAAAAAAAATCATATACCAAAATATAATTTTCCAATGATATTTTCATCAAAAAATAAATTTTTAGGTACCAAATTGTAAAATATAAAAAGTATATGTACTAAATTATAATTTATTATTTGGATCCATCATCCATGAATCCACTTAACAATTGGATTTAAATAAATCAATTGAATTTAAATGGAATGAATTAGTTGGGTATTTTAGTAGATTTGTTGGACTAGATTCATGAATAAATTGTCAGCTCTACGGTTTAGCCAAATCTACACGTTCAAGCCCGTCTATTAAGCTGGCTCAAGATAGGGTGAGTAACAATGAGTAATCAAATCTGGACCCTTCTTTTAAGTGACTGCAGATCTAAGAGTGGAGAATTAAAGGGATTTATTTTCCCTAGTTTTCTTAATTGGATCATATCTTCTTCATTCTAACTCGGAATTTTTTTTTTTTTTTTTTTTGCACAGATGGAACGAGTTCGTTGTGCTCTACAAAATGATATCCATTTTCAATTTTTTTTAGAGAAAAAATTTTCATCCCTCTCGTTACCAACTCCATACCATATGGTATCTCCTTCGTTGTTTAGTCATTTTCGGAAATTTTTGCACAAAAAGAACAATTTAATCATGATCTATTGGATTTCAAAATTTTCTGGGGAAAAAATTTCAAACCTCTCGTTACCAACTCCATACCATACTATACCACCCTGGTACGAGGTGGTATTTTTCATACCATATGGTATGCTGTTATTTAATACCATATGGTATTGACTGGTATTAAATAACAGCATATGGTATTGACTAGTATTTTCATACCATATGGTATGTTGTTATTTAATACCAGTCAATACCATATGGTATAGACAGGTAATAATTGGCAAATTTTTTTTGTTCCAAAAAATATCAAAGTGGATACCATTTTGAAGAGCACAATTAATCTGATCTAACTGTGCAAAAAAAAAATTAAATTCCGAGTTCAAACGAGTGAGAAATCGTCAGTTAAAGATTAAGGGAAAGAAAATTAATGATTTTTCAGGAAAGAGAAGGAGGCGCTGATGTGGCAGATTCTTATTGGGTTATGCATGGGTTACTCACCACAAGGTTACTCATTGGATCTGCTCCCTACTAAGCTATAATTTATACGAGAACGGATCAGGTCAGTAACCTTATGGTGAGTAACCATGAGTAACCAGCCTACATAAGCATGACATCAGCATCTCTCTCCTGAAAAGTCTTTTAATTTTCCCATTCTTAATCTTTGACGGACGATTTCTCACTCGTTTTAAGTCGAAATTTAATTTTTTTTGCACAGTTAGATCAGATTAATTGTGCTCTTCAAAATGATATCCACTTTGATATATTTTTCGAACAAAAAAAAATTGAGCAATTTTTTACTAGTCTATACCATATGGTATTGACTGGTATTGAAATAAGAACATACCTATGGTTTGAAAACCGTACCATGGTGGTATGAACAAACCAAGACTGTAGGATGGTTGAATACATGATAATAGAAGTATATTAACTGTCATTTACGACTTTTATCATTGTGTACCATAATATACCACCTCGTACCAGGGTGGTATTGTATGGTATTGTGTGGTATTTTTTGGTCATGTAATTTGTTCACCCAGAAATTTGTAGATCCAATAGATCATGATGAACTCGTCCCTTATGTGCAAACGTTTTCAAAAACGAATTAAAAACGAAGAAAATACCATAATATACCATAATATACCACCCCGTACCAGGGTAGTATTGTATGGTATTGTGTGGTATTTTTTGGTCATGTAATTTATTCACCCATAAATTTGTAGATCCAATAGATCATGATGAACTCGTCCCTTCTGTGCAAACTTTTTCAAAAACGAATTAAAAACGAAGAAAATACCATATGGTATGCAGTTAGTACCGAGAGGCCAGAATTTTTTTTTTCTTAAAAAATATTGAAAATTGATCTCATTTTGTAGAGCAAGATGAACTCGTTCCATCTGTGCAAAAAAAAATTAAAATTCGAGTTAAAACGAAAAAGATATGAGCCGATTAAAAAAGCTAGGGAAAATAAAAATGGTCTTTAATTCTCCATCCTTAGATCTGGATTTTCTAAATAAAAGATCCAGATTTGGTTATTGATGGATGCATAATCCATGGTTATGCACCCTATCTTGAGCCAATTTATACGACGGTTTGGGGGATTGAATCAGGAAACACTTTCTCTTGTTTAATTTGGTTTTGATTTTAATTGAAAGGGTTTTCCGGTAGAGGAAGATGACGAAAAAAGCAGGTTTAATTTTTGTTTTGATTTATTTTTATATAGTATTAGTTTTCTTATTTTAATTTAATTGTAAATTTAGAATAATCTTATGTGATAATGGTGTGACATCTATGTGGCTGTTTAATTTTTGCCACATCAACAAAAGTAAATATCGCTTTGACCATTATCTGGTCAACAATTATCTTTATCGGTCAACGAAAGTGTCTGGATGCAAATGTCACAAAAGTATCATACGTCAAGATATAATTGTCATATTGGATAAAATAGGATACAAGTGAGATTTTTTTTATAGTTCAAGGGTTGTAGTGGTATTAGTCCTATAAATTAAAAAAAAAAAAAGATAAAAGGAAATTCAAAATAATAGGTTTTGGTCAATTGGGTCGTGTATTGAGGTTGACTAGGCGGTCTATTTGCATGACACAGTCTTTTTGTCAACCTAGCCAGTAGTTTTGTTTGCCACATCATCCAAAATCTGAAGGCAACGGAAACTAACGAGCGATGACTAATGGTGAAACGATTCTTAAAGTTAGTGATGAATAAGAAAAAAAATGTTCGGGCGGCAAACATGAAAATTTTGTATTATTTAAGTAACCAATTAAGCATAATAATATTAGTGTAATATGATGATATAACAAAGGATAATAAGTAACCAATGCATTACCCTAAGTCTTAAACTTTCAATTTTGAATTCCAACCCTAATCCTCAAATTGTAAACGTTAAACCTTATACACTATATACTCTTCCTCGTAAACACTAAATCTTACAAATCAAAGTAAATATTGAATGCTTTTTGTGCAAATTAATAAGTTTGAAATCAAAGTAAATATTTAATACTTTTTGGGCAAATTAATACATTTTTAATGTCAATCATATTACAAATGACGATTACCATCATTTCAAAAAAACAATTTTGAAGATGTACTGAAAAACATGAGACGTATTTTCCCTTTCAATGCACTCAAAAAATGAGTAAAGATAAAGGCCAAATACACTTGTATAGCCAAAACTTTGACAGTTTTGCCAAATATAGCCAATTTTGGGGAAATACCAATAATAGCCAGAAATTTGAAAGTTCGATGACAATAATAGCCATTTCCGTTACATAGTTTGCGGCGTCAGTGACACCGTTAGTCAAATTAACGGAACGATGATTTGGCTGCCAACTCACCTAACACATCATTGACAATGACAACTCACCAACACTTGCCACATATACATGACATGCATATTTTATTTAAAAATATTTAATTAATTTATTAAAAAATCATTTATAAACAAAAAAAAAAACCAAAGGATTGTCCCGCTTCCCCTCACCGTCATCCATTCATCCCCTCACTGTCGACCTCAATTTTCCATCCAAGTCTCCACTCCACCCCACATTTCTTCTTCCTCCTCCTTTCCTTTGCGATTCTGTAGGGGTTGTGAATTTAAGGTCCGAGATTGATCCAAAGAAACATCTCTCGGTGGAATTCGGAGCCCTAAACCTCTGATTGCAGCACCTCGCATCTCATCCAAACACCTCGCATTCAAATCAGAATCCAGACTCCTCTTTAACAGTACGACCTCTGCGATGGCGATGAGATCGAGCTCGGAGAGCTCACTTCCATCACTGTCCGGCTCCGAATCGAGAACCAAAATCCGTCGTCGCCACTACGGCGAGGCAGGAGGAAACAGATTACTGCTTCGGTTGAAATAAAGCAACTGGAAACTAGGATTTCGGCGGAGGAGAGTCAATTGGAGAAGGCGGAGCAAGTTCTTGGGCGATAATTTCCAGATCTGGGCGGTTTTCAAAGCTACCGCCAATAATCGACGGTGAGCAGCTACGCCAGGGGAAGATGGAGGGAAATCGGGAGATAGAGTGAGGTTTTACAGATTGAAATGGTTGCGGGGGATCGTGGAGAGGAGAAGGATTGTTGTGGCGCCGAGGATGTGAAATAGAGGGTCGGCGATGGTGGGTGAATGAATTAACACTTCGAGTCGAGTAAAGGAGAGTTCCGGCTTGTCTCAAAACGGAGCCGCCTACTCCTGTTGTTGGCAGGGTCAACCGAAGCAAGAAGAATGGGAACACGAAGGTGTGGTGGCAGTGGAGGTAGATGAATTTGTGGCGGAGGGAGATAATTTGTGGGTGGGTAGGTAAGGAAAAGGCAAATTGTGTTTTTCAATTTCCTTTTTTTTATTTTTTTAATTAATTCCACGTGGCAAATACGTACAAGACAAAAATTGTCAAATAGTACGATCTGTTAGTCCAGTTAACACGCTAACTCACACCGTCAAAGAATTAGACGGAAGTGGCTATTATTGGTATTTCCCCAAAATTGACTATATTTGGCAAAACCGTCAAAGTTTTGGCTATACAAGTATATTTGGCCAAAGATAAAAGACAAAACCATATCCTCCCTTCCACAGACTTAGAAATAGTTACTTACTCATAAATACTTGCTTCCCAAGATTTGGCATGGGGCAATCCGCAAACAGTGCGCAAGGAATTGATCCAGGGAAATAGATCATTCAATTACACCGGAAATAAAGTTGATCCAATTCCACGCAACAGAAGGCAAAATATGAATCACAACTTCAAAACCTCTTTACTAATCTATCCTAGATCAAAGCCTCGCCTGCAAAATTTATGGCAGTTTCTCGTTCTGCTTCCAGTGCAAACTTCTACCTGTTTCAATATCTCTCTCCAAACCGGAAGAACAATGCACCCGTGCCAGTGTTGTGATCCACAGCGTACTCTGCTCGAACCGATCCCAACTTCACACCTGCACCGTATGATGAGCCATGCCCCATTCTTCTGTATACTTCTGTTGGGTTCCCTTTCACATCCTTGGAGCTCCCAAGATCATTTCCATGCTCAGCGAATAGATATACATGCGTATTTTTCACAGGTATCCTTACTTCAGCTCCAAGCTGCATACATAGAAAATGAAGTTTGTTTAATATCAACCTTAAGCTCCTTCATATCTATCTCTATATGCCTACCTAGTCGGCCAACGTGAGTGCAACGCTGATCTATATATCAGGTGATAACCAAACTCAATAACCCCTTAGGCCTAATAGCGGAGACAATAACAAAGTTTCGTGCGAGGCAGAATACTATCAGTCATAGTTCCAACTATAGATATGTACCTCGAGGATGTTTCTGGCTGCTCCAAGCTCACCCATGTTGTACCCTCTCACAGAATAGGGTCCGCCCAGTGTAAAAGCATCATAGCTTGGAAGGTCTCCAACACAGCCCCCGTAATGACCATTAAGGACTAGAATAGGAGGTGGTGGTTTGCCCGCACCTTCCTCCACTTGTTTTAGTGGAATGAACTTTGTAACTGTCAGCTGGTGACGGTTGAAGAACGGGAACTTGATGCCAATGCCAAGCCCTTGGTCCACCTACATCACGTAAGCGAACAAAATGAGCGAAGTCGATGACTTTCTTCAAGTAAATGTTCAGGAAATAACTTTCACTGATTAAGCGTGCATAATAGGAATTATAGACTCTGAAAATGGTAAAAGGCAGGTTCTGATTCGAAATGCAGAAGGGGTGACCAGTTGTATGTAAAACTCATTTTGAGAGCACAGTAGCTGCTCACCTGAAATACATTTCTTTCACCAACTACAGCTCCATTTATGAACTTTGTGTTGTCACGAGTGATATTGGCCTGTAAAAATGCCATCCGGTCAATGCCGGTACCACTGAGGGTTGTAGGTGGCCCATCTGCGCTAATTCCACCACTTGGTAAAACTCTTTGGCCATTTGCAGATATGTGACTACTTTCATCACGTGTTGTTATCTCTTCCATCACCAGGCCATAGGTGAATTTGCTCTGGCGGGTGAAATTCTAATAATATTGCAAAACGGAAAAGCAAATTCTTTTTAGTTGTAGAATCCGAGGGTAAAAAAACAGGTTGGATGAATAACAGACACCAAGATGTAATTACCTCTGTAACATTAACTTTAACGCCCGCTCGATCCACCCATATAGGAGGAACCTCGTCAACCCCTGGCCCACCAGTAAAGACTGGACTGAGTTTTCTGCTGTTGAAGCAGCTAGTGCGAAGGGTGCGGTTGCGGGCATTGTAAACACCATCAAGATATGGATGGACATATTCAAGCTTGAAGGCAAGATCATCCTGAAGAAGAAGAGTTCCCAAGCATATTCAAAGTAGATGAGCAACAATTCGATACACATATCTAATAATAATAATAACAACAACAACAACATCAACAACAACAACAACAATGATGATTTATTGAGATAGTCAAATCAGAACGTTATTTACGTTACCTGGGGCAAAAAGAAATTGCTTGTTGTGATTGAGCCCACAACTGAACGGTTCAGCCCTTTGATATTCCTATGTTCAAAAGCAACAGTTCCACCAGGCTGGATTGAAGCCTGAAGGACGATTATAGTTAGTATAGTTGAAATGGCAGCTCAAGCTGCAGATGTGCAATGAACTTAAAAGAGTAACGCGGACATACCAATGTGGGCCGTCCACCACGCCCAGGAACAATGCTCCATTCTGTACTAACTTCAGCAGATTTTGGCTCCAACTCTTTAAGCTTAATCTCAACAACGATTCCTCCTTCATTCTTCTCATCAGGCCTTGGATTCACTTCAATGTTTGAAAACAAACCCAATGCATTTATATTCTTCAAAGCTTGTTTTCCAGCTTCGATGTTGAACACTTGACCAGGTCGTAACTGAAATATTGACAGCCACGCCCACACAACAATTAACCTTACCGGAACTATGAATAAAGTTACTAGTTCATGCCTAGCAAGACAATCAAAATCACAAGTGAGGTGGCACTTAATCACAGTAGAAACTATTTTGAATTTGTTGGAGGCAGGGCATCAAGATAATTTCACTTGGAAGATGGAAGCACCTCACTAGAACCAGAAAGACATGTACAGCTAACTTGGTGTTCCAACAGCTTGCTAATTCATGATTCATGGCAATTCCCAAAGCTTAAACCAGAACCACACCCTAAGTGTTACACAGTTCACGGCATTTCCTAAAATGACTTCAGAGATGATACTTTAACCATCCTCCAGCATCAAATCACGACTAACCAAGATGACTTTGAGACTTCGAGTAGACAGCTGGATTTCATTGGTCCCCCAACGTTAATGTACAGCTAGAGATGAATAAAATAAAAGCAAACAACATAAACGAAGCAATCAGGGCTCCCAAGTCTTACCTGCTTAGGCAGCTCTCTCTTGACAACAGGTACTTGTGTATTCCCCTCAACAACATTTCCAAGTTTGTCTTGAAACTGAATAACCAACTGAGTAATATCACCTTCCACCACCTCACAGACTACCTCCTTTGTGTTGAGATTCCCAAAATTAACAACCTGCGCACAGGCATAACCCTCATCGTGGTACCACTTCTGCACTGTATCCCTTATCTTCTGCAAAAGCCTGGCGCTAACCTTGCCTTGGTCCCTCAACATTTGCATAACCTCCCTGTGAACTGGAGGTGCCAGCAAACAGGGACGTGCCCTGTCAATCCTCCTCTTGTAGTCCTTCTCTTGACTCCTGTAGTACTCAAGCTTCTCTTTCTCGGTCATGTCGGCATCCATCTCAATGGGCTTGGACTGTTGCATCAGCCCGACATTGATGCATCTGAACTTTTCAGCGGACTGCCAGGTGCTCTCAGCGAACGAGATGCTGATCCCTAGGCTCCCATCAGGGTTCGTTTTCCCGTCCATGTCGACCCTCTCGAACATCCCGCAGGTAGCCAGAGTCTCCAGCTCCTTCTGGAGCTGCGCTTTTGTGTAGACTCCGCCGGGCCGTAGGGAAACCATCTCGAAGAAAGAATCTTCCGTCCCCACGGTGGCCCTTCTTCGGCTGTCGAAGAAAACAATGTCGGAGATTCTGTACTTCTTGAAGCCGCTGAGCTTGTTCAGTTGGACGGTAATGTTGGCCGGCAGGCCGTGGGCATCCCAGTCTGGCGATTGGGACTCGTCGGCAATTGCAGCCGATGGACAAAACAGTCTCTCCCAAAACCCGCCGCCACCACCGTCACCCCAACCACCGCCGCCGCCACCACCGAACCAATCGCCATTACCTCCGAAATTGCCAGGGCCTCCGTTGGAGGATGAGAGGGGAACGGGAGTGAGACGGATGAGGAGGCTGGAGCCGGCAACGCCGCCTAGAACTAGGGGTTTAGAGATAGAGCTGAAGAAAGATTTCCGCTTCTCCTTGGGATCAGAGGGTTTAGGGTTTTGCGGCGCGTAGGGGGAGGATGAAGAAGAAGCGAGATCGCATTTGAATGAGGGGGGGCGGGGAGCAGCGGCGCGTTGGTTACGGCGAGGGTTGAGGGGAGAGGAGGAGATCGGAGAGTTGACGAGGAAGTTGGTGGGTGCGGCGAAGGAGGGCATGGTTTTAGTGAGGGATAGGGAAGCGGCAATGCAACAACGCACAAGAAGAGGAAGAAGAAGCGTGAATGAATTATAGCCTGACTAATTATCATAAATTGTCACAAATCTATTCACTTTGTACAAAATGGTAACAAATCTTTAATTTTGCACATTTCGGTAACAATTGTTTAGACTAATAACAAAACGATAATTCCGTCCATCTCCGTCCAAAAATCTGTTAATTTACTCCAGTCAGCACGCCATATCATCAACAAATAATAATAATAAAATACATAAACCAAACCAATAATATCCAACCAAACCAAACTCATTTCCACCCGAAAAGAAGGGTCATCGAAAGAGGTTGTGGAGGAGGAGGAGTCGGGAGCGACGAGGGTCATCGAAATTTCATGAAGGCGGAACTGGTTTCTGGTGGTGGTGCGCGCGATAGGAGGTAACGACTGTGGTGGAGATAAAACGAGGAGGGATTTCCCTTTTGGGAGCTGAAACCACCATCGTTCTCGATCTTCGATCCGAAAGTGAAACACGCCGAGGCTCTCTAGCTCTTCCACACCAAAGGAATCCATCTTTGATCTTTGAAATAACATCTCTTTTCAATGCCCTTTTGCCATTCAATTAGATCTAGGAATCAGAAGCTCATTTGAATCATAGAATGAAGAGACAGAGGGAAAAAGAAATAGAAAGAGGCAGAGGCAGAGGCAGAGGAGAGAAGGAGAAGAAGAGAGAATGGGACATCAATCGCCTTTTCTTCCCTTGTCGCCTTTTCTTCTCCAACCAGATCCGACTCCTTCCTTGTCGCCTTTTCTTCTCCAACTAGATCTGCCTCTTAATCCTGTTTAGCTCCTCAACCAGCCTCTGGCTTCGGCGGCACCCGTAATATCTCGTCAACCGCTTGCTTCGTGGCAACGATGGAGGAGAAAGGGGGAATCAATGGCGACAACGATGGAGGAATTGTGGAAAACAGATGATGGCCCGACGGATGGAATCAAAGGCGACATCAAAGTTTTGGGAGCAATCGATTGGGGAGGATAGGCGACGGGACGGAGGAGGAGATCGGAATCTCTACCGACACAATTAACCGCTTTGATGTCCGCGATTTTCAGCCCGTGAGTTGATAATTGGTGATCCATGTAACCCAAAATTGGATTGGGTTTGTATTTTTATTGAGTATAATTTTCGGGTGGGTTGAGTTTGGTTTGGTTTGGTTGGATATTATTTGTTTGGTTTATTGATTTTTTATTATTTGTTGATGACATGGCATGCTAACGGGAGTAAACTAACGGATTTTTGGATGGAGATGGACGAAATCACCATTTTGTTATTAGTTTAAACAATTGTTACCGAAATGTGCAAAATTAGAGGTTTGTTACCGTTTTGTACAAAGTGAATAGTTTTGTGACCATTTATGATAATTACCCATTATCGCTTAGTAGACGGGCTTGAACCGTGCGGGTCTGACTGAACCGTGGTTGCGATTGATACAGTTCGGCTTAGTCTACTTGGGTTCTGCCCCGTTTTGTGTTTCTGATTTACGAAACAACCATCTACTCATTTATTTTCTTTCTTTTGATTTTCGAGAGAGAAGCTGACGAATAAAGAGAGAAGAAGAGGATTGGGTCTTGCTCAAAGCTAAAGGAGTGGAGATTTTCACCTCTCAAGAGAATTCTCGTCAACAAAGAGAGAAGACAAGCATCCACCGTGATTCTTTCTCTCTTCTTTGTTGTAATCCCTAGTCTAGCTATAGAGTAGTGCTCCTTTTCACTTGGATATTGTGATTCGTGAACCCTAGTTTTATATATGGTATAGGTTGCATGGATTGAATGAGTTAGTGTTTGAGGTATTTTCAAAATTCTTGAGTTGTGTTGTTCATTTCTCATAACCATGTCAAATTGACTTAGGTGGAGAGAATTCTCTTTTGTTAGAGGCTTTGAGAAGCTGGATTTCTTGGCCATTTGAGTCACCCACCTAGGGCAATTAAGGGCAAGCCTCAAACTTTGATCCAGCACCTTGATTGATTGTTATTTTGCCATCCGGATTAAGTTCCGAGGAGTAGTATGGCAACCCTCGGTTGATTGGACAAAAGAGCTAGTTCCCTAGCTTAAATTGATATTCCTTGGCCTATCATCCGAGAGAGTGAAGTTTCTTCACTAGTCACCCTCCTTACGGTGTATGAACACACCTTCAACATTCTCATTCTATTCGATCGATCTTGGTATGTAGCTAGGGAGAACAATACCCGGGTGAATTCTTCTCTTATTGGAAGTTGGAACAACCTCAATTTACTTTACTTGTTTGTTTACTTTTTAGTTTTCTTAGTTTTAAACTCCAAACTGTTTGCTACATAACAACTTAATTAAGCGATTGAAGTAGGGGTACATGTACCACCCTAGGTTGACAATTAAAACGTTTGCCCTATACTACACCCTACTAGAGTTTATACTTGGGCTCTAGTAGAGATTTTATTTGGTGTAGTCGGAACGAGTCATGTGTTCAAAATTAAAAGTTTAGGAGTTAGATTAATGGATTGATTAGTTGTGATTATATGTTATATCAACATATCAGACTAATGATACCAAGTAAACTTCAAAAATTTGATGTCTTAATGCCACTTTTTTTTGTGCATTCAATGCATTCGCCTCATAATCGTTATTCTGAGCATGTGATTCATGTAAAAAAAGGTATCGATCGTCGCTTATGATGTTATGAACAAGAAACACAGAATTTGCAAATAACTCATTCAAGATTTACTTTAATTTGAAGTATTTAGGATTAAGGGTTAGGGTTTAGGTTTATAATTTAGGATTTTGGGTTGAGATTCAAAATTGAATGTTAAGGGGTTAGGATAATAGATTATTAGTTATGATTTTATGTTATATCATCATATTAGACTAATATTGTCAATTAAAGTTCAAAATTCTATGTATTATGGCTACTTTTAGAGTATTCCATGCACCCAAAAAAGTGAGTGTAGTGAATATATATAGTGAGTTCTACGATACCCATTGTGAAATTTGGGGTACGACATACCTTGAGTATGATAACGATTTCCAGCACTTGAATGGACTGATCTTTCGGACATGATACTATACTCTAACCCTTAAAGATCAAAATCTTGGTCTTAATTTTCTAAATCTCATATTACAAGATCAAGTTAATTAGAAACAATAATCGACTGTTCTGATTCGTCCAAATATAGCAAAAAATGAGTGCACCATCTTAGGGTGTATAGTTTATGATTTAGATAATTAGGACCTAGGGTTCACTCATTAAGGGTTAGGGTTTAGTATCATGCTCGAAAATTTTGCTAATTTTTGGGAAGAAAAAGTTATACAAGCAGTCAAGCAGGCTCAAGTAGAGCATGTATATGCAGAATGTTTGCGGAGTTCTTTTTCAAGAAAACTAGAGATGCTTACGTTTGGAATGGGACCATCCGATTGAGGGATCTTAAAGAAACTTGCAGCCGACTGATTCTTCACAATCGTCACTACTTTGGATCTGGCATCATTCCCATGCCATCTCTTAATTCAAATGATTCACAGTTCAAAATAAAGAATATGGACGTCAATAAATGTATGCCAACGTTAGATGCAACATCATAGGTTAGTATGGTCATGCGTCCCAAACTAGACAGTTCTATATGGTAATTACTATCACCGACATAATCAAGCCTTCCTGTCAAACAGAAATAGGATTCATACAACACTGCCTTACGTAACCCCACACGGATTTGAGGATCCCCTGCTCCAAACTACATAGAAATATGTTATAGGAGATAGGACTTGGACCTAACACCAACAGGAATAAATCTGCCTCGGATGCAAACCTCCCTAGACGTGGACAACAACTCTCAATAATATACATAATTATTCATAATTCATAACTAGCACCAACAAGCATACACTCCTCCGGTATCAGATATCTCTGTTGTCATAATTTTCATTATCAACATGTTACAAGGCAAGAGCTAATAACCAAAGCAATCAAGAAACTGCATTGCCAAACAAAAATACATATAAATTCTAACATGATGGCTCTCGGAGATGGTCGGTGTTGCAACCTACTATATCTTCCACGGAAACCAAAGCAAAAAATTGAAGCGGCAATGCATTACTAGCGGATTTCAACAGGTGGGCTTATATACTTAAAGTGACTACCAGAAAAAATCTAGACTTCAACTATTATATTGAACTCATCCTGGCATGTAATAAAGTCATTAGTTAGCTAACAGGTGACCAACACACATTCAAAGTTCTCACTGAATCACACAAAACACATTACTAAGGGTCAAGAAACACTATCACTGACTTCATAGTTATGTCTGTGGAATATTTCAGGAAGATATATATAGCATAACATTTGAATCCACTTAACCTGTGGTTCAGATACTGAATCTCTGGAGCCATCTCGCTGCGGTATGTATCCGCTATTATTATATGGTGGTGGAAAGTCCTCACGCTTGCGCTTTCCAGAAGACATCGAGAAGAAGTCCTGGAACCAGTTCCGCACTGATAGTCAAAGTCATTGGTAACATCAATTTATCATTCCATATGATAGAAGAATACATGGAACGTCCTCAAAAATTATGATGAATATCCTTCAGCTGTTAGAAATCCTTGCTCATCACTTTTCTTCACTTCATGCACGAAAAATCTATGGAAGCAGCGGAAAAGCAAGTAATAAGATTTACTTGTGCCAGGGACTTATTAGAAGCCGCTCTGTCAGCTTCCTCCCGCCCTTCCACATAAGCTACAATTGAGCAGTTTACATGGGCTAAGGACCACTTGAGCGCCAAAGTGCCAAAATATGTCAACAATACCAATATACTTACCGACATTAACATCAACACTAATTGCAGGCCTTTGTTGCATCCAAGGTGAAGGAGGTTGCTATTCAAGAAAGAGGAGAAAGGTTAGAATTAGAATTAGGTCATATAGTTTGGCCAACAAAGTAGTGGGAATAACACTTATCCCACCCAAAAGGAAGAAGATCTTAGTGCGATCTTAGTGCAAAGCAACATCATAATAACATCAAAAGAACAGAAACCCAGTCATAAATTTATCGCCTAGCTATAATGTTCCATTATTACCATGTATGGGCTAGGTCGCCCAGTTTTAGCTTCCCCATTTCCAGTACTACCACTAGCGTCACTTATAGGAGTAGGATATTCACTGATATTTCCCGTGTGAATGTTATACATGGAGGAGTTGTCTGCTGTTCCAGGCAAAGGTGTCTGCACATTTCCTGGCAAAGGGGTTTGTGTTGGTAGTGGTGTCTGCAATGGTGTTTGCAATTCAACCAGAGATATTGAGAAATAATCTAGTCAGCCGAGCAATAATTTTTTTTATAATTAATGGAGTAATGAGCTTATAGCTCTAAAATTTCAAGCAGTCTCGCCACTAGCAGAATACAAAACTATTTTCCATGTAACAGCAAATAAACTAAATCCAAGGATCTTAAAACTGGGGCAAAATAGTCTTTCAGTGGTTAACTACAATAATACGAAACTAGCAATCTCTATAAAACAACCAAAAACTCCGAGGAAAATGAACAGACCACCAATGGCAGGACATATACACATAAATGAGTCCAACGATGCCATCATCTAACAGAAAGCCTAAACCAATTACTCACATGAGTGAATAGCATCTCATCCGCGAGAGTCTCGTACTCCTCAGTGCCTTCATAGGGTACATTAAGGTCATGCACTGGAGTAGGACCACCAGTACCTGCATCTGGCCGGAAGACCGATCAATTAACCCCAACATCACGCCCGCTTGCATCATCTTCATCTCCCAAATCTGAGTGGAAAATCCAAATCAGAATAGAATGGTCAAACTTGAACAAACACCAATTGAACCCAAGTCTCCAAACCCCAGAACTTGTGCCCAGATTCAAGCACAAAAAAAAAAAACGATTCACAACAAGCCCAACACACGATTTAACAAAAACCCTAGCGCAAAAGCAATATGATTTCAAGAAAAGAAAGAAACCAAAGAAGGGATGACAGCTTATAGATGGATAAAGTGCAGAGGAAAGATAGTATTATTACTACTTGGAGATCATTAAGGACCGTCTCTCCAGGGCCACCGTTGTTGATGAACTCCTCGCGAATCTTGTTGATGACGTCTTCGATTACATGGATATAGACGTTGCTAGTAGTGGCGGATGCAGTCATTGCTCCCGACCCTCTCTTTCTCTACCTCCTATTATTTCAAAGGAAACTCAATTTTGCTTCTTATCCGCCTTCTTTTATTCTTATCGGGAAAGTAGGAGTGCGCGCGAAAGTCGAAATAAAACCACCGGAGAGGGAAATTCAAGCAGCGGAAGGCGAAGCAACGATTCCTCGATAAGGGGAAACTGCGGCGGGGAGGAGCTTCGAACGGCCGTCGGGGATTTGGGCGTGTGTAGAGGGTAGAGAGGAAGAGAGAACGACCATGAAGGGAATCAGAAACGAAGAGGAGCGCTGGAGTAGAAAAAGAGAATAAAGAGTGGAATATAAATAGGTTTGCATCCGATTAAAGGGAGTGGGTGCACGAGTCAAAATCTGTCGGGTGGGTTTGGGAAAAAATTTCGCCTTCTAAATTATAAGGTGAGAAAAAAAAATAAAGTTGGGCGGTCCTACTGCTCCCGTCACCGTTGCGAGGCCGACCTAAAGAGTTTTGATTTTTTTTTATGGAAACCTGCTTATCTTATTAATCCGATGAAACAACTACATTGTCCAGTATCAGCTGACCAACAAGAAAAATTGGAGGTTTATCTACCCACACAACTGGTGATTCCCAGTTCGTCTCACTGTGTGCCATAATATGTGCCGCCATATTCGCTTGTCTTCTCACATGATGCCACGTACCTTCTCCCATTTATGCTAATAGACTCCCACATTGCGACACAAAACTCCTAGTTTGGTCTCAATGTTTTCCACCTACTGCAACTTATGGATGAAAGGTTGACAGTCTGACTCGAGCTCCGTCTTCTGCAGAGAGAGCTGGCGTGCCACTAGCAATCCAAATTCCGCCGCAAGGGCCTCGGTTGTCTCAAGTTCCCAACTACCTCTTGTCTTGAGGGCGTGCTGCAAAAATGAACTTCATTTCCTGTTCACGTCCAACCGCTCCCAGTGCCACTCCCCCGTTTGGAAAGACTCCCGCATCGGTGCTGATTTTGACTACTCCCGCCGCCGGTTTTTGCCAGGCCACCGTGCTGCTTTCACTCTCCACTGCCTCACCCCTCCTTTGATGTTGTTGATAGTCCTGCAAAACCATATCTGGTCGGGGTACAATCTCCATCTCATCGAGCTTCACTCCATTAAAATAATGAGCATTTCGCTCGTTCCAAAAGTACCATAACAGCGAGCACCAATCTTCCACCATACTCTCTTCAAAATCCTCGAATACTTGTTGCACCCATTCCATGCACGTCTTGCCTTGATGCCTCTCGAAACAAGCAGCCATATGGGACTGTCTCCATAAGCGGCACGTCCAGCCATATTCCCCAAAAAAAGTGTAGTTAAGTTTCTCTTAATCCACAAAAAGCACACTTATTATGGGTGTTGTGGAAGAACGATTGCGAATGGAAGGCAACGCTTGTTTCTCTTCTAAATGGTTTTTTGTTGTAATTATGGGTTTGGGGTAGGGGTGGGCATGCGGTTCGGTAAATCCAAACCGACCCGAATCAAAATCGGTCACAACCGAACCGAACCGGACTTAAGGTGTTCAGTTCGAAATTCGAAAAGGAAATATGATTATTTCGGAAACCAGGGTGTGGTCGACCGAACCGAGTTTCGAAACCCGAACCAAAAAACCGAATAAACTAAACCCAACCCACATATATTGTTATTAAGCCCGCCAAACCCTTTTGTGCCATCCCAACCCACCCATACACATTCCCTCAACCCTCAGAGGCCGAAGCCCATCCAAACACACTCCCTAAACAAGGCCAAGCCCACCCAAGTCCCAATACACACACTCTAAACCCTCTTAGCTGCTAACCCTAAAGAAAGGAAGAATAGAAGAGGAAGAAAAGAGTAATTCCTGCCACCACCGCCGCCAAAGCTAGCATCACCGACGCGCTCTTCTCTTCCGTTCTCTTCTAGATCTTAGCTCTTCTCTTCACTTCTCTTCAAGATGCTCCGAGTCTGGGCTTTGCATGCGGCGGATGAAGAAGTGAAGACCGGGAATTGAAGGGAGCAGTGAACGGCGGCCCTGTTAGGAACGAGAGAAGAATCAGATGTGACAATCCGTTGATGAGAGGAAGAGCTGATACCCACCATTTTCCCCTGTGAGTAGAGGGCTTGGATTAAACAGACGAGTCGGCGCCGGAGTGCTCTGGGCGGTAGAGTGCTTGGAGAGGGCGGATCCGCGACATACCATCATTCTGTACCCCCCTCCGAAGAATATATCTACCATTCCTCCTTCGTTCTCCCTCTAAAAATCGCACCTTTGAGATCTCTACCTCTCTTTTTCTCTCTTTCCTCTGAAATCGAATTTTGTTTGGGTTTTGGGTTATTTTTATGTTTAGGCGAGAGTTTGTTTGGGGAGGGATAGAAAGCAGAGGGAGGGGTGGAAGAAGATGACGAAAGTGGTGAAGGGAAAGTTTGTTTGGGAGAGAGAGAGAGAGCAGCAGAGGGAGGGGTGATGGGAAAGTGGGAAAGTTTGAGAGCGAGAGAGAGTAGCTAAAGAGACAGCAGATTGAAGAGGAATTGGGAAAGTGGGGAAGGGCCGTTTTCTCTAGAAGTTCGGACTGGTCGGGAACCGAACCGGGATATATTTCGGCTCGGCCAGCCCGAACCGAAATATATTACGGTTATAATTAGGGTTCACCTTTGGCATGTTCAGAGGACTCGGTATTCTCCTGTTTGGTTTGATTTTGATCGAACCGAACCGATGTCCACCCCTAGTTTGGGGGTTTCTTGTTCGGTGACAGAAAAAATGAGATTTATTTTGGTTTTGCTATGTTTGGGAAGAGCAGCCGCATTCTGGGATTGTAGACCATGTTCGCGGCAAGTTTGGTCCGGTGAAGAGTCGATTTTTTTTTATTATGATCTGAGTCGGTTATTTAGACTCGGTTAAAACTTACACAAATAAATAAATTTAATTCAAAATTGATTCTTCTAGAAAAAAGATTTGTTTCGGTTAAAACCAACGCTAAATATGATTTACGTCGATTATTCCAGTGGTTGTCAAAAATAGGACCACCATGAATTCGTTTAGTGTCGACCGTTTTCGCGTCGGTTAAATGAACCGACACTATTTTTTTTTGGTGTTGGTAAGAAATAACCGACTCTAAACCTATGTTTTCTTGTAGCGAGATTAAAGGATTATGGGTTATGGGTGTCTCTAGGTGTATATCTATGTAATAGAAGGAGAGCTCTTTTAATTAGATACTAAACAAGAAGAGGAAAATAAATTGATGTTATTCAACGAAAAAAATAATGTTGCTTTTAAATGGAGGATTCTAGAATTATGGTTATGGTTGTCTCGTTGTCGTTTGTGGTAATCAATATTTTCCGTTGACTTGATGCCTTGTTAATAATATGATATTTTCTACCAACGACAATACGATTTCATTATAGATAAGCTTTTTGTTTTGACAAATAGTTGTTCACAATTAATAATAACGATTTTCTCGATGGTGAATTCTTCTTCGTCAATATTACTGAATATTATTGACGCAAAAAATATAGTCGTCACAAATAATGACTGTTTGTAATTCCATCCTCTAAAAAGTGACCAATATTGACAGAAAATCTCATAATTACTGACAAGATTTGAATGTGGTCGGTAAAAAGGTAGATATTACTAATGACATAGGGTTTTCATCAGAAAAAATAATTTTTCTGATAAAAATTTAGTGTCGTCAGTTAGTTCTTGTCAGGACTATCTGTCATTTTTGTAGTGACATTTTCACAACTAGATCCCATCTCTTAATTTTGAGTGGGTTAAAATCTAAGGTGGCGAGATTAAAGTGTATTTTATGTTCATATTTTTAATTGTTTTTTAACTTGGATTTGATTTTTTTTTATCATAGATGAAACGAGTTATTTGTAATCTACAAGATGATATCCATTTTTTGATTTATTTCGAGAAATGTTTTTCGTCACTCTCATACCACTTGTTATCACCCTGGTATCGCTCTTTACCACCCTCGTTTTCAGTTAAATTTTGAAAAAATTTACCCAGAAGGAATATGTTCAGAGTGATATTTTGGATCTACAAATTTATGGACCAAATATACCACCCTTCTGTAAGATGGTAACTGGCGATAGATGGTGATGAAAGGTGGTAGTTAATATATTACTACTATCATGTATACAACCATTATGCATTATGATATATTCATACTATCATGGTACACTTTCATATCACATGGTATAATTTCATGTACTACCAAACGATTACCACCATATATGGTATGAACTAGTAATTAATAGGGGTGGGAAACGGGACGGGACGGGATACCCGTCCCGTTTTAAACGGGTACCCAGTCCCATTTGGAGACCAAAGTCCATCCCATATCCCAAACCCATATGGGAAACGGGTACCCGTTACCCGTTTAGTCAATTACATTTTACCTAAAGACAATTAGTCAATTACATCCAAAGCATTCATTTCAAAACACAAAATGGCTGCACAAGTAGCAACTTACACCAATTCCTACAACCCAAAGAAGGCATGATGATGAAGATGAAAAGGAATCAAGGAAGGGGAAAGGACCAAATAATAAAACCCAGAAAGAGAACAAGTTCTGCTTCCTGGAAAGTGCAACTTACCCGCGAAGACGACTCCTCCAGCCAGGGACAAGACACAAGACAGAGACAGACCTTTCCAAATTCCAGAGAAGCTGCCGCCTGCCGTCGCGTGTCTCGCATCTTCTAGGACCTAGGGGTGCGTCAGCGTCTCAACTCTCACGGGCTGAATTAAATGGATTTTGTAATTTTAATGGATTTTGAATTGGGTTGGGCCTGGGCGCATGGGCTGAATTATATGTCTTTGTAATTTGAATGGGTACAACGGGTACCCATATTACCCAAATGGGTATTCGCGGGTAACCCGCGGGTACCCATATTAGGACTGTACAATCCCAAGTCCCATCCATTTAAAATATTACGGGTAATATGGGTACCCGTAACCCTTAAAAAACGGGACGGGTACGGGTATACCCAAATACCCGTTTCCCGTTGCCCACCCCTAGTAATTAATGTCTCAATTTGTTTTGTTCCAAAATATATCAAAGTGGATGTTATTTTAAAAGCACAATTAATATGATTTATCGGTAAAAAAATTAAATTATAACTTAAAATAAAAACAATATAACCCATTAAAATTAATTAGAAAAAAGTTCGTGCTTCCATAAAAAGGTAAGTACGGAGTTATACATGGTTATTGATATATAGCTTATGCATATCAGTTCCGGCAAATAGGCCAGGGAAGGTAATAATCAAGATTGGCAAATCGATTTATACCTTTGTGCCGATTTTAATATTGGCATGGTCCGATCGGTGATACAGCTGGTTTATGCTAATTCATGTCAATTTTAGCCAAAGATGTAGAGAAGTGGAAAATAATGTAGGCATATATAATAATAATATATATTTGAAAACAATATGCCTAAAATACACATACGTATTTAAATAATATACAAAATTACAACAAAATATAACATTTAATAAATGTTGTCAGAACCGAACCAGAGTATGACCCGATAACGTGAACGGCTCGCACTTAGTGGTCCAACCGGTGTTGGACCGTTTAAAAACCGTTAGACAGATAGCTTATAAATAATAATATCATTAGTAAAAGACACATATGATAGTAATTGATCAATATAATGACTCAAACAAAATAAACCAAGTAACACAGTAATATTACATTATGATTATATAAATTAAAATTGACCCAAACCCTACCCTAAGCGGCAACGCCGCTCACCCCCACCCCCCTCTCAACCTCTCGATTTCTTTTCCTTTTCCTTCTTCTTCTTTTTCATTTTTGGGATTCTTCTTCACAAAACTCTACACCGAGGAGTTGGCGATGATCGGGGAGAGCGGGGTTTACCGGCATGAGCTGGATTCGACGGAAGGGAGCTGGTTCGATGGCAGGAGCTGGGCGACGCAGGAGCAGCTTCGACGGGGAGAGCTGGGTTCGACGGGACGGGCTGGGTTCGTCGGCGATTGCCCTCGCTGGGTTCGTCACACTCCGCAGGACCTGTGTTCGACGGAGAGAGCTTGAGAGGGACGACTCTCTGGTTGAGTTTCGTCGTTCAAGACAACCGATTTGAATTTTGATTTTTTCATTTTTGTATTTAATAATTAAACTTAACGACCAGAATGGAGAAACCGGACGAGCGGCTCGAGCGGTTTGAGTGGTTAACCGCTTCGACCGCTCCAAAAATCGTTCTTACAAATATTCCGGCTTTTTACTGTGTCGAGCCGGTTTGTTGACCGGGTGACGGTTCTACCGGTCGGATCGACCGACTCGGCTCAGTTTTAATAACACTACATTTAACGCAAACATCTAAAAGTTTATACTTGAATCCAACAAATAACATAAACGTATAAACAAGTATATTTGAATTCAACAAATAACATCAACATTTAAATTTTAAATTGAAAAACAAATTATTATTTTTTAATTAAATTCACCGAAAAAATAAATATTATTTTAGTTCAAATAAAAAATTGATCATACCATTCATACTGCAATATTCCAACGGATACCGATTAAATCCAATTCTATCGACGACAGACCACCTCTAGATAGGGATGACAAAAATATCCGTAACCGGGGATATCCGTCCGAATCCGACCTAATCGGGTAGGGTAAAATCCGAACCCAAAGGACCTTTAGTGAGTACTGGTAAAACCCGAACCCGAATATTGCGGGTAATGGGTGGGCATGGGTTTCTCACTATCCGACTCGAACCCGCCCGATTATACACATGCATATGCATTTGTCTAGAAATAATCATTATTTTTCTCTAACATATTTTATATTTAGCATAAAAAATATAATATTTTCATGAAATTGTGTTGTTTTAATTAATTTTCTTCATTATAGTGAATTCTTGTCGTACATTTAATTTTCTCTTACGTAATGTAAGAAATACGTGTGAATGTTAACATATTGGTTGGAGTTATGAAGAGAAATTAATACCCATGGATAACCGTGGATACCCGAAACCCAAACGGGTATGGGCATGATTTTGATTTTTTACCCGTTTCACATGTGGGTATGGGTATGGGTAAAACCCGAAATACTTTAGATAGGGTAACAGACCCGACTCGACCCTACCCGACCCATTGCCATCTCTACCTCCAGCTCTAGGGGTGGCTATACGATCCGGTCCGGTTAAATTGGACCAAATTGATCCGGTCCCAGTCCGGTCTTTTCAGGAATATAAGGACCAAAAATTGGATTGGATACAATCCGGTCTTGACCCGGTTCGGTCCCAATTTGATCTTGATTTTAGGTGTTGGGGGTCTTTTATCCGGGTTTTTTTACCTCAAATCTAAGCCCGAATATGATATTGGATTGTTTGCTATCCGAACCCAATCCGGTCCCGGTCTGGGTTATACGGTCCGATTTTGGGTAAAACCAAATAGGGTTGAGAAACAGTCCAGTTCGGTTTAAACCAGACCGGATTGACCCGGTTTTTATGACCGGATTGGACTTATGCCCAACCGTGGACCGGATTGGACTGGGACACGGATCAAACCAAACCGGATTGGATGAGATACGGTTTGGTCCAGTTTTGACCGGAAACCCCACCAAACGACCGGCTGGTTGACCGTCGTTCTACTTCTACCTAGGTCGCCGCCGCTCGCCGGAGTCTGGAGATGTCGACGGCTCGTCGATTGAGTCTGGTGAGGGGTGAGATGATGGCGCTCGAAGGGGATGTACAGGAGACGGGGGAGATCGACTGCAGACTGCTCTCGAACGAACGGAGATCGAAGGGAGATGACGGCGCCGTCGTTTGCCTCGTCGTCGCCAGCTGTTTGCCTCGCCGTTGCCGCCGAGGGATAGAGCAGAGGCGAGAGCACTTCAGTCCTCAGCTGCGCAGATGGAGATGGAAATTGGAAGGGGACGACGATTAGGGCATTAGGCGATTAGGGTTTTCCCCCTTGTTGTGCTGGTCTGTTGGACTGCCTGGGTTGGTTAGTTGGTTGGGTAATTTTGTGTTGGGCTTCATAAGAAATGGGCCTGGTTAGTTAGTAATAATTTAGTGGGTTGGACTCATCCAGTTTTAAACAGTTTCCCGGTTTTAAACCGGACCGGACCGAGCCGATTTTTCCCAGACAACAAGCAACCGCCAATTGGATTGGGTTATTGGGATTACGGTTTCCGATTGTAACCGGAACGGTTAAAACCGTCCAGTTTCCGGTTTGACCGGAAAACCGGATCCGGATTCCCAACCCTAAAACCAAATAGTCCGGGAGCAAATACCCTATCAAGCTCCATGACAACCTTGGCAATAGTTATTTTCGGACAAGGAAATAGATAGATAAGCAAATCAGAAATCACCGACCCCGTCTTCATTCTCTTCTTTACTTCGTTTTAGCCCTAAAACCGAAACTCGCGAGAGCGGAAGGAAGGAAAGAGAAAGGAACTCTGTCTAAGCCAAATTGCGTAGTTGGAGACTGCGAGTTCTTCCCCGCGCCACCTAACTTGCGAAATTGCGCTCTCCAGACCTGTTTCTGTAAATCTCTCCCTTCCTTTCTGTCATTCATGCAGAGATCTCTCTATCGCGCGCTCCCCTTATCCATGTCTGATTGATTGCAGGGGGGTTTCATTTTCGCCTCAATTCACCATTTCCCAGCACCAGCTGAAGGAATCCAGAAACCCTAGGAAATGTCGGGCGGGTTTTTCCGGGTAATTGCTTCTCGAGGAATCATTATATCGATATCTGCTGCCCTTGCGCTGACCAATTCTGCGGATCTCGGTTCTGAACCCGATTGTTTGCGCTTCTTCTTCTTCTCCTCTTTTTTTTTTTTTGTTTTGAAGGGTACGTCCGCCGAGCAAGACACTCGGTTTTCTAACAAGCAAGCGAAGCTGATGAAGTCGCAGAAGTTTGCTCCTGAATTGGAACACCTGGTATTTGGTTGGACTGTCGATTGAGCGGTTTCGGACCATTTTTCTTGTTTTGTTCTTCCCCGAATTGGGTGGTTTTTACACCATTTCATTGCTCTTTGGTTGGGTTTATTAGGTGGATATGACTAAAGTGAAAATGGATGTTATGAAACCATGGATTGCTAATAGGGTGACTGAGCTTCTTGGTTTTGAGGACGAAGTTCTTATCAACTTCATTTACGGCCTTCTCGACACTAAGGTATAACAAAAATGTTGGCTTTTCCATATTTTCTCTTCAATGCCTTTATCTGAATGGAAATGTGCCCCTTGCTTATTTCTTCACTCGTCGGTCGTCACTACTTGAAATGATGATGGTTTTGGGAATTGTGTAGCTTGTAGAGCCGTTCTATTTCCACTAAAATCGAGCAATCAATCACAAGATTCAGTTGTTGTTTTCAGAATTGTTTTCTTGTGCCGGGTTTTTTTGTAAAGTCATGCGTTTGGTCAGCTTTCAACTGCGTAAGATGGTTAAAGTTTTTGTGGACTTCTGGTTTTTTCTGATGTAGGCAGTTAATGGGAAAGCGGTCCAGATACAACTTACTGGCTTCATGGAAAAGAACACTGGAAAGTTTATGAAGGAGCTCTGGTCCCTTCTTATCAGTGCCCAGAAGAATGCCAGTGGCGTGCCTCAACAGCTTTTGGATGCCAAAGAAGAAGAAACTAGGCAGAAGCAGGTTAGAAATAATTTCATGTCTTGTAGCTTTTGCTACTAAAATTGCTTGTTGAAGGCCTGGTAGGAGTGACTCTTTGTTGTTCCAGGCAGAAAGAGATCGGATAACTGCTGAGATTCAGAAAAAGAAAGAGAAGGAGAATATAGATTCTGAGTTGATGCGCCAGAGGAAGATGGTAATACTAACTTATTCATGCCAGTAATACATTTGTTACAAATTGGGTTTCTGGTTGTAACTTTATTTTGTTTTTTCATGGCGTTCAGCTAGCTTCTGCAATTATTTGGGTTCATGTCCTTTACCTCAAACTACTGTAGGACGGTGGTGCTGAGACAAAGGCCAATAATACCTCTGCGGATCCAAGATCAAAACAGATACAATTAAAGGGTTCAAGTGGTGCTTCTGATAATGAGAAAGAAGCTGAAATAAGAAACGGGTCGAGGGGACGGAGCAGGTTAGGAATTTTGTTTTTGGGTGTCAATGCCCTTGCTTTATTCTTTCTATTTTTGTAGTTGTTTCTGCAGTGCCTCAATTTCGTGAACCGTGGATTGGTTGTCTAGCTATGTACTGTTTTAAACATCACAGTTATTGTTTCACTGCTTTGGAACGTGCCGTGTTGTTTACTTGCCAGCAAGAGCAGAAATTACTGATTACCTGTTCTGTTTGGAAGTTACTAGAGGTATCCAACCCCGATCTGCTCGGGGTAGTAACTGAGAGTGCGAATTTTGTGTGAGGAACATGGGAAAATAAACATGTGACTATGCCTTACTTTTATTCTATCAAGATCAATCCTTTAGTGGTGGTATCTTGCATTTGATTTTCTGGAGCCAAATTTACATGGATTAGAATTTTGAATGAAGAGTGTATCAGCCTGGAAGCATAACTTCTATCTATGAATTTTTCAGGGTCTCTATGTCTCCCCATCGAGGTGATCTTTCACCTTCCTCTCCTAGGTGTGTATTCACCTTGTACCTATACTTGAGTGCTTTACTTAACGGATATTATGGGTTCTGATGCTCTCTGTTAATTTCTTAGTGGAAGGATAAAGCCCAGAAGCTTTTCAAGATCACCTTATGCACGACATCGCTCGGTTTCTTCTGAACGGCGTAGAAAACGGTCAATTACTCCTGGTCGGGGGCATTCACCACGTGCGTCTAATTCACCTCTGAGGAGGCGGTCATCCTTTGTTAGACAAAGATCCAGATCACCTTCAATTAGCAGGTCCCCGTCCCCAGTAAGGCGTAGGTTGCGATCTCCTTACCGCCGCAGATCACCTTCACCCATTCGACGCCGTAGATCACCTTCACCGGTTCGGAGGCCCAGGTCACCATCCCCACCTCGCAGGAGGCGTAGATCACGCTCACCCATGCGACGCCGGAGATCTCCCTCACCTATTCGACAACATAGGTTACCTGCTAGAAGCCGCAGGACCCCTTCTCCCACTAGAAGGCGCAGATCCCCATCGCCACAGAGCCGTCAATCACCATCACCTTTGCATAATCAATCTCCTTCACCACTAAAGCGGAGATCACCTTCCCCACCATGCCGTAGATATGAAAGGTCTCCACCTAGTTCTAAACGTGGGTCTCGATCTCCGGCAAGACGTAGGTCTCGATCTCCAGCAAGACGTAGGTGTACTGCCCCTGCCCGGCAAAGATCACCAGCGCGTACACATCGAAGGTCACCCTCACCGTTTGTTTCAAGATCTCCATCTCCTATTCGGCAAAGATCCCCTTCCCCTACAGTTAGAAGATCTACAGGTCAATCATCACAAGGAAAACTTAGGTGGGTTCGTAGCTCCTTAACTTTCTTACTTTATATTTGACTTTGGAGTTGTGATGCTGACCAAGTCTCCCTTTAAAGGAGTCTTGAAATATCCTCTCCTGTACGGGCTCAATCTGGGCAGTTGAGGTCACCTCTGGGAGATGCTAAGGAACAGAAGGATTGGAGAAAGAGATCACCTGCACCGTTGTCTTCACCTGAGGGGTCTCCTGTCCAATCGGAATCTCCACCACCCATAAAAAAAACTAGTAACAATGATGACAAAAGGTATATATGATTTGCATTACTTAAATCAACTAGATGTAGTTCTTGGTAATTACACTAACAGTTCTGATCTGTTGGCTATTGTATGATAGTATTCCAAGGCAAATGAGGGCGCTGCATCCAGAGCACAACCTTAGTCCTCCGCCACAACCAAAAGATAAAAGATCTCGATATGAAAGCTCCGACGATAGCAAAGAGGGTGAAGGAAATAACCGTTCTCGGTGAGGATTTGTAAATAAAACTTATTAGTACTGTAACCATGACTGTTATCTTTCTACCCACTGGTGCTTTCATTTGTGACGTTGGTGATGACAATACATCTAAACTTCACATAAAACATTTGCTAGAAGGTTGAAGGATTCTCTCGTGGAAGTTCACTATAAGGGCAAACAGTCTCCTGAAATCAATTCAGGCCATCAAACAAAGTCTAGAAGCCACTATAAGACAGAACCAGGGAAGAAAGATCAGGAAACAAGGAGGTAGTAATGTGCAGCAGAAAGAATCTATCCTGGTTATATTGATGGGTTGAAGAGGTACATGCAACCTAACATATTTGCATCTCATTTCTAGCAGTGAGAAATCTTATGGAAGGAAGGGGCATGCTGAAGCTTGGGAGGGTCAGAAGTCTCCCGTGGAGAGCCTAGCAGATGTTCAGACGTCTGTTGGCAGCCTTTCTCATGGGCACTTTATGAATGATGATAGACACGGCAAACCTGATACTATAACTTCAATTGAAAACGTTGAGAATAGTAATGGTGGTAGTAGACTTGATTCTGATTCAGACAGAAGTGGTAAGCACGAGGGCAAGGAAAAAAGAAAGCATAAAAGATCACATAGGCATGGAAAATCATCATCTGATGATGAAAGTGATTCTGAAGTTGAAGAAAGGAAAGAGGTTAAGAAGAGGAGGAAAGAAGAGAAGAAATCACGCAAGGAGGAAAAACGCCGTAGACGTGAGGAGCGGCGCCGTAAAAGAGGAGAGAGACGGGCTGAGAAGCTGAAACTGAAGAAGCGAGATGACGATTCTTCTGATGATGACCACGCAGCCAGGGGAAAAAAGTATTCTTCGAGTGATGATGAAGAGGAGCATTCCGAACAGAAAAAGCTAGAGATTGAATTAAGGAAGAAGGCTCTTGAATCGCTGAAAGCCAAGAAGAGCATTGACCACTAAGTCATGTCATTGCGTTTTTGCGATCTTGGATAATCTCAAATGATCTTTTGTTTCTAAGCTGTTTTACTTTTTTCTAGCACCTTTTGTTATGAATGGATGTGTTATTTCTGATAACCTTTTAATGTTAGTCTGTGTTTACTGCTGGCAGCTGAAATGGATAAATGATGGATTTCCTGAGCTATTCTCTTGACTGCCCCCTATATCCAGATCTTCCTGCTAGATTTACTGGTAATGATTGTTTCCCCATTGTTGAGAATTGTGATATTGTGTTATTAATGGTTGTCAGCTTTAGTTAAGCATGCTGATGTCTGCTGTTACTTGTGAATTGCACTTTATGGAATTATTTTGTTCTTATAAGTACTTGTCAAGTTTGATGTGCCCTTGTCTCGCTTTTCATGGTTATCTGCTGATATGAAAAGAGTATTGATCTCGGAATGAAAATGATGCCTTACAGGTCTGCTCATTATTTCAATTCACTGATTGCCGTTGATACTAAGTAAGCCTTTTGGTCAATTGGTAGATGAAATAATTGACAACTTGATTCGTGCTCGAGTGGATTATGTGCAGGGCTACACTGTGAACATATGAACATCGAATCAAGTGAAGTACCTCCTCGAGTTCAACTGTGTTTGTTATATAAAGTATAAACTATCGGGGATCTCAACCAGACAATAAATTGGTAGTCATTCTATTTCTTTTGGCAGGCTTCTCTAATTAGGTTATACCCTATATATTTGCAGATTGAGAATTGTATTGGGGTCATTTTGTTGTTAATGAATATATATGGTGATCTAGGTTCAAGGACTCGACTCCCCGCACCCTTAACATTGGCATGTGTGATGTGTGTAGAAAAGTTTGAATTGGCAATTTTCCATGGATGTTTATGATGAGATTGGTGATAATAAGAATATAAGATAGTGCGGTTCCATTATCTGGACCACCTACTGATGTTTCCTTCGTGTTCATGTTGCAAATTATTTGAGGTTCTAGTTCATAAGCGGACACATGCAGAACTGCCTGATCATTGAGGGCACTCGTTCGCTCTGGGTTCGATAGGAGTTTTCACTTAGATTGCCTTTTTCTGAGTAGCGCGTACTAGGAAACAACCTATTGATGTTTCTTTCATGCTCATGTTGCAAGGTATTTGAAGTTCAAATTCATAAGTGAGCACATTCAGAACTGCCTGATCATTGAGAGCACTCGTTCACACTGGGTTAAAATGATATGGTTGAAGCGAGTTTTCGCTTTGATTGTGTTTTGCTGAGTAGCTCATACTAGGTTGTACGCTTTTTTGTTGAAGTTGGTTGGTATAGGAAACAGCATGGTCACGGGTAGAAGTGCAGATAATATGATTCAGTGAGGTTAATGGATGGGTGGAGGTCTTGTAGTTCCAAATAGTAGTGTCCTTGTTCAACCGTTTTTTCTTTAAACAATGGCAAGTTGTAATTGTTACCAAAAGCAATCAATATGCACTCAGTCCGTTGCATAGTCGAAGTGTATGCTCCTCTTCTTATACGGTGATGATGTAGAGGTTGCTCATGATATATCATGTTCAGCAAGAACAGAACACTCTTCAGTAATGGATGCGGCCGGCTTTTCATCTCATTATAGCATTTGCGTAATGGCCTTTGCCTCCGCATCCACAGAATCGCACGCCCGCACGAGTCAGGACAGACTTAGAGAGGCCACGAGATGTTCACTCGGAATTAGAGGTGGAAATTGGATCGGGTTCGTGGATTGTATTGGTGGATCTATGGATTAAATAGATTGGATACAATAGATTGCTGGATTCATGGATTGTATCAAATGGATTAGTGGATTGATTCATGAATCCAAATGACATCTAAGGCTTGGACCAAAATGTAAAATTTGAAAAGTTTTGGTACTAAAATGTCATAATGAAAAATTTTAGCTACCAAAATGTAATTTTTCAATGTAATTTTTCGTATAAAAATATAAATTTTAGGTACCAAAATGTAAAATATAAAAATATAGGTACCAAATTGTAATTTGCCATTTGGATCCATGAATCCATGGATTAAATGGATTGGATTTAAATAGATTGGATTAGGTGGATAATTTGGTGGATGGATTGGATTGGATTCATGGATTTGGATCCTAATTGCCACCTCTACTCGGAATCATGATACCGATGGAAAATATTGTTAGGGATAATACCGCTAGAGAAATATCAATATGTAGCGAAAGTGTCATTTATATTACGTAACTTAAGTAAATACATTAGTACTCCTTCTACCGTGACCACTAGCTCGTCTTATTCCTTCTCGATTAGCAGTAGCCCCTTTTTCATTCTGCAGACTGAAAGAGCACGGAGCTAGGTGTGCGATTAGGGATTGCGATTGTTATGAGAATTGGGGATTTGGATAAGGTAGAATAGGAATTAGGGTTGAGAGGAAGAAGAATCCGGTCATTGGGATGGTGGCCGACGGATAGAGAGGGAGATGAAGGGGGCTCGGCTAGAGAGAGGGAGAGAGTGTGCTTAGAGAATGATTCTGTTGTTATTGCTTAACCCCAATAGTTCCCGAAATATCCGACATAACATAAAACGTCCAATTAACAAATAAACCCCCAATTAACGTATATCTGATACAGACATACTACGCGGGGAACACAGTCGGAGTTTTAGGTTCTGATTTCCACCTAAACTCGCCAAATCCTTTTAGGGCTTGTTTGCTTGATTAATTTGATGGACTTGGTGATGGATTTGAATCCATAATGGACTTTGTCCAAAATTCATTGTTTGCTTCAAGTATTTAGAGGTAACAAATCCGTGGGATCCATGGAATTTGAGGGTCCAAATCCGTGGGGCCCACGGACTTGAAAATCCCACCTCTTTAGGTGGGTATTGATAATGGATTTTGAAGTCCATCATTTTTTACCAAGCTACCCCTCATATTTTCTTTCTTTTCTTATATCATTGAGGGTAATAAATGTAAGTTTCACTTCATACAAACAAATTTAATTACTAAAATTCATCATGAAATCCATGAAACAAACAATGATATTTTCCAAATTCATAATGAGGCCAAACCCCTCATACATCCATGATTTTACAAAACTTAAATTATACCAAAATCTTATTTTTTAAATCCACGATGCAAAGTAGCCGTTAATTACATGGGGATGGCGCCGAATCGGGAACGAGACGATGGCTTTGGTTTTGGCGTTCAATACGAGTGTAGATGTGATTTTCGCAGCACCTTGATCCGGATCTCATCACGCCGCCGAAGTATCAACCTCACTTAACTGATGAGGAGCTGGGGCAAGGGATTGGTATACAACGAGAGGAGTGGGCAGATGCGAATCCTTTTTTGTTTTACTTTTTTGTGAATTTGTTTTTATTTAATTGGAAAATTATTTTTTTAATATTTTAATTTTGTTTTTATTTAATTGAAAAATTATTATTATTAATATTGACGGGTTTTGGGCTGATTCGGGTTTAAATCCATCTATAATTCATCGTGATGGGTTGGATTGGGTTTAGGAATACTCAACCCATGGATATCCGCCCACACCCATAAATCAATTTTCACATAAAAAACTTTATGAGTTATGATATTGTTGGCTACTACTTTTTGCTAACTTGCTATTCTATTTGTAGATGGCTTCGAAACAATCAATAGGATCATCATTTATGCCACCATTAATGATGACCAGTATATTTAATACTCTGAGTAGTATATCTTCTTCAAGCAACTCATCTTTCTTATGATTGTGGAGACATGTCTAATTTTGGTCTACTTAATTGTGTATAATGAAGTTGAGGTTATGGAGCGGAGAGTGAAGCTAAGATGACAATGTTCAAGTTCTCAAGGAGGAGGAAACTTTCAATTAATCATGTTGTTTATGGATAATTTGTGACTTTCATGAATTTTATAGATTGGTATTGTACAATTTGTATGGATAGTGCGTGATTTGTTTGAATTTTCTAGAATGTTATTTTTATAATGATGTTTTTATGTATGGATAGTTTGTATGGTGAGATTGATGCTTGATTTTTATTTGGCAAAATACACTTGTATAGCCAAAACTTTTGCGTTTTCCTACTGCTGCCGATTGAAGTTCATGCTTTCCCCGATTTGCTTCTGCTCACCTCTTCTCTCCAAATTCAATTTTGGGGGGTTTTCCTACACACCCCCAAATGATTTCCAACAAGCTTCCACCAAATCCCTTGCGTCGCATCCAAATCTCAGGAAACTGGCCGACGACGATTGGGGATGCAATGAAGCAACTTATTCGACCTTCCCAATTTCCTGCGTGTTTACATCCCCCAATATCGGGTCAATTGAGAGATTGAAAAAGGAAACCAACATGGGAAGTTCAAAGCGGTAGCCAACAGGGGAAGCAACGACTTTCGACACATCGAGGCCGAATCAAAGCGATAGCCAACAGGTCGATCGAAGTCGGGGATTTCTGGAGAGATACAGCAAAATCGACCTGGGAAGACTGGCATACGTCTGGGAACCGAGTAGCACTGCAGGCAAAATCGACCTGGGGTCTTCCTTGATGCTTTTGCTCTGTGTTTCTTCTTCCATGTCGATGGATAGGTACCAAATTCGTACAAGAGGAGGAGCATGCAGTGAGATTTGATCCGGATACATATTCGACTCGCGCCCAGTGGCGAAACTCAGATCCGGTGGCGACCCCTGGTAATTCTCTCCTCCTTTGATTGAGAACATATTTAAGACCCGCAACTGCCTTAGAAGGAGCTTCTCCAGCCCAGTGGTTTTTGACGATAGAAAGAAGACGATAGAGATGAGAGGAGAAGGATTTCTGGGAAGAAGAAAGGAATAGTCGATTTTTGTTGTTCGCTGATGGAGACGATTAAAGCAGAGAGATGAAAGGAGAAGGGTTTATAGGAAGAAGACAATTGAAACTTTTTTTTAAAGATACAAACTAAAACTTTTTTTTGTCACTTTAATCAATGCTATTTCAGGGAAAAAATCCCAAAGTACACTAGTTTTTAAAAAAAATTCCCAAAATACAGTAGTTATAAAAAAAATTCCAAAACTACACATGTTTGAGCTTCACCGTTTTTGTCTAAAACGGTGAAGGTCATCACCGCGTCCAACAAAAACGGTGAGTTCTTCACCGTTTTAAATTAAAACGGTGAACCCTTCACCGTTTTAATTTAAAACGGTGAAGTACTCACCGTTTTAATTAAACACGGTGAAGGGTTCACCGTTTTAATTTAAAACGGTGAAGCACTCACCGTTTTTGTCGGACGCGGTGAAGTGCTGACGTGGACAGCACGGGGTATTCACCGCGTTAGACAAACACGGTGAATAACCCGTGTTTGTTTGCGTCAGCAATCCGCGCCCATTGTGCTTTCACCGTGGCCGTTGGATGCGGTGAGACGCGGATCGTGGTTTTCTTCCCACGATCCGACGCCTCGCAGCAGGCCACGTCACCATTTATTCACCGCGTTTGGTGAAGACGGTGAGTTCACCGCGTTCATCAAACGCGGTGAATGCATGGTGAATTAACTGCTGCGCATCTCCTCCCCCCTTCCCCCAAACTATAAATACCCCCTCCCCCTTTCACTTTCAACTCACCCCACAAACATTTACCTTCTTTCTCCCTCAATTTATCCGCTCTAGTCTCGTTCTAAGTATGCTCTGTGGTTGCGGCTAAGTCCGATCTTCCACATCAGAAAGAATTACTAGAGTTTGACCCTAAAGCCCCCGTCCCGCTAAGTTCCCGTCCCTTACAAAGCTAAACCCGTCGAACCTCTGTCCGGCTTCCGCCAATAATGGACGAAGAGGCTCTTCGTGTAGGTTTTTGGTTTGTAATTTTTTTTAATCGAAACAATTTGATTTATTTTTTATCAAAACAATCTCTGATTATATTACTTTTTTATAGATGGGTGCCGAGATATACGATCCTCGATTGTATATCCATTATGGCCCAAGGGATGCGAGTCTATTAACCGATCAGCAAATGCATCGCTCCCGTGCCATTTGGGATAACAATCCGGTAATTTGATGAACTGACTTGCTTTATTTTATTATTTTCTAATGTTTTATTTTGCTTTATTTAATCTAATTAATTGATGTTTTTCCTATTTTTTTTAGGAATCTCTTGTTCCCGTGGTTCATAAAGGGACCAATAACTTGCCCGCTTGGCATCCAAGGTTGGAGCCCTATATAGCGAGGACCGGTTTGGGAATGTTGCGCCATTTCTTGCGGATCGAGATCGACAACGAGCTGCTTACGGCAATGGCGGAACGATGGCGTCCCGAAACCCATACATTCCACCTTGCGGAGGGGGAAATGACGATCACCCTCAAAGACGTGGCGATCCTCACCGGGCTTCCTATATCTGGAGATGCCATCATTGGGAACACGACCAAACCCGAAGGAGGTTGGGGGCCGCTCATCCGTGATCGTTTGGGCTTCGACATGCCGACCACCACACCAAATCAAGGACGGGGGCATCCACCGTTGAATGCGGGTCAAGTGTCGGTCCCGTGGCTGGTATCTCACATCCAGCAAGAGGTGGAAATCAATGACGAGACACCGGAAGAACAAGTCGAGCGCTACGCCCGCATCTACCTCATCGGTTTGGTGGGTGGATTTTTGTTCCCCGACAAGTCCAACCGGTGGATTCAAGGCATATGGTTGCCATTGCTCACCGGTGACTGGGATGCAATTGGAGAGAAGAGTTGGGGATCGGCCGTGCTAGCGGGCGTATACCGGGAGCTGTGTACTTGCTCGAGGGTTGGGGCAAAGCAAGCTGGTGCTGCGATGTTCATCGTTCAACTGTGGGTATGGGAGCATCTTCCAATGTTCGCACCTCTCGACCCACGTCCATACCGGAGAAACGATGATGAGCTCAACCTTCTGCAAAATCTCCTCTACGGTGTCAAGTAAGTTTATTCCGTACTTAGCCCAATTTAAATTTTATTACATGCTTGAGCTAGATTTAAATTGAGAATATTCCGTACTTAGCCCAATTTAACTTTTTATTACATGCTTGAGCTAGATTTAAATTGAATTTATTCCGTACTTAGCCCAATTTAACTTTTTATTACATGCTTTAGCTAGATTTAAATTGAATTTATTCCGTACTTAGCCCAATTTAACTTTTGATTACATGCTTCAACTAGATTTAAATTGTCTGCACTTCCGTACTTAGCCCAATTTAATTTTTATTACATGCTTAACTAGATTCAAATTGAATTTAAATTGATTCCGTACTTTTACTTACAAGGTGGATAGGAGCAAATACGAATGACCATCAGCCTGAGCATTCGTTACTGTTTTATCGTTCTGAGTTAGATAAACCATGGTGGAATCAGGTAATCATGTTTTGTCCATATTTGAACAAGATCAATTTTATCAAAGTAAATGGTCGTTAATTCCGAATTTTTGTGATTTTAGGTTATATGGGATCCATATCCACGTGAAGTGGTTGAGCTGCATCATCTTAGGCACCCTCTGGATCACGAGACGTGGTTGTGCAAGGTGCCATTGATCTGTTGGCACATTGTGGAATGGCACCTACCCGATCGATCCCTGAGGCAGTATCGAATGGAGCAACCAATTCCACAAGACCCGCCAGCAGGTTTCAAGGAGCTACATGCTATGGACCTCCGAAACAATGCAAACTGGACGCTAAAGCATGGATTCTACATCAACATCTGGGAGAATCGATCCCAATGGGTGGTGCAAGGGATGCCGGAGACGAGACCGATGGGCTACCACGATGGGTACATGCAGTGGTATCGGAAGTTCACCTTGAGATGGGTGTCAAAGCAAGGTGCTGTGATGGGTTCGGTGGTAAGTCATCCTAATCTCCCTAATTCTTAGCTTTGGTTAATTTAATGTTTAGTTAATTTGATATATTTTGTGCTTTCCTTAGGTTGATGGTTTGGAACACGCGAAGTACACTCTCGAAAGTGCTCCAACCATGGATGAGCGGAAGACTACTTGGTTGACCCGACTTATGAATAACCTCCTGAGTTGCACCAGAGAGCAAAGGAGGGATGTCGTGGCCTATCCTCCCGCTCCTGCCCCGGCACGACCCTCATTCCGTGATGATGCACCCATTGTGCCCCCGGTTGAGCCTCCACGAAGGAGCAAACGCAGGCCTTTGCCTACGTTCGAAGAGGTGCGTACCACTCAAGAAACCGAGCTCCCCGAACCGTTCGAGTACCAGTGGGCACCTACAGCGGATGCCGGTGGAGGCTCATCGAGTCATGGGGGATCTCAGGAATGGGACACTTTCTCTCATGGGTTCTCTCAATTCCAACATCAGCAACAAAGTTCGATGTTTCAGACCCCGCAACAACAAACTCCGATCATTCGTCAAGCTACCGCTCCAACTCAGCCACCACCACCACCATATGTAACCCCAGTTGGGGCTCGGGTCAAGAGAAATCCGCGACCAGCCGTTGAGCGAGCCCGCCAAGAAGCAGCGGCGGAGGGGGGAAGAAGGGGTCGAGGACGTCGTGGAGGACGAGGAGGTAGAGGTGGCGATGGGGGCCAAAACGAAGCAAATTAGTGAATTTATCGTTTTATCATTGTAGTGAACTATCAATGTTGTTTTTGTGATTTTTAGGTGTTGTTATTTGAGTTTGCATTGTCTAAAAACTATCCTACGCACTTAAGTTGTCGAATGAATTTTCTGGATCATTTTATCAAGAATCAGTATCTTTCCTCAACACAAAAAAGTTGGGCAAATCAACCACGATCGCATAGAATTTTACAGATCCCAATTCCGAGTCCAAACGAGTGAGATAAGTGACGTCAAAGCGTACCTCTTATCGTTAAAGTAACTTTTGCGTACTATAAACTAAAACGCCCGTATCTTATTCGTTTGAGGTCGAAATAACGAGCCGTTTGCGGCCGCGCGATCGTATCGACAAGGAAAACATTTTTGATTTAACAAAATACTTGGACTTCAAATGCAAACGTTAATTAAAAATTAAACAAGCGATCAATTTAGTAGCAGAATACAAGTAAATGCAAATTAAGTTGATGGTTGTCCTGGGCAACGCCTCTTGTCGTGACCAGGTTGTCTGCACTTAGAGCATCGCTTCGGTCCCCTTCTCGTCCGTTCAACTTGATCCATCTCATTGTGTATCCTTTCAACTCTAGGACGGCCTTTGGTGCGTTTTAGGTGCAACGGTGGGATAATCAACTTTCCAGCGTATATAGGCCAATACGCTTCATCTGGCATGGGGGTCAAAGCTGCATGATATGAGTTCCGTATCGCTTGTTCAGTGTAGTAAGGACTCACCAGGCTGTTTCTGTTCATGGTTATTGACTTAGCAACCGCCATTGCATGTGAACAGGGTATCCTTTCGTTCTGATACTTTTGACAAGAACACTCCCCTAATTCGTAGTGCAATTTGACCGTTTGACGATTGTGACCACGTCTCCCTCCACCCCATATACCTGTTTCGACAGCGAATATTCCTTCACTGCGGTTAAAAAGAACAACCTTATGCTTACTTGATTTTTCATCGTTCTTTTGCATTTGAGCAAATACGTCATGTGCTATTGAATGACCTTGCAACTCCCTCCCTATAGCTAGCTGTAGCCGAGCAACTCGCCACTCGTTGACCTTCCAATAAGACATTTCCACGATGACAGAAATAGGCATCGCTCGAAGACCCTTGTAAACATTATTTATACTTTCTCCATGGTTGGTAGTTGCAATGCCCCATCTAGCCCCGTTGTCCATATGGAACGTCCACATGGGCAACTCTTGACCTTCAGCCCATACTGCTCCAGCTCGGTGGGTCTGACGGATCGTTTTCATGATCTGCTCGTACTTTTTTGGTTGATGTGCAACCGCTAATATGTGAACAAAAGACTAACTGGTCAATACATGATGAATAACATCAGCTTATCAGCTTAATAAACACAAACTTAAATCGCATAAGAAAAACATGAGTACCTGCATTCCAAAGTAGATTTTTGATGTCTTTCTTCTTCCCAAATTTGTGTTGGAAATTGGCGAGCCAGTGCCGAATACACCATCTCCATCTCCACCCCCACTCGTCGGGAAAACCACCAACAACATTCCTTATCCCCGCATGTCGATCGGATATAATCGTAATATCTTCCCGCTGTGTCACGTGTTCGTGCAGTTGGTCAAAGAACCAAGCCCAACTTAAACTGTTCTCCCCTTCCACTAATGCAAATGCAAGCGGGAAAATTCGCCTATTTCCATCAACGCCAGTGGCAATTAGAAGACATCCTCTGTACTTCCCAGTAAGGAAAGTTCCGTCAACCTGAATAAAAATTTAGGATATAATTAGTATGAAATATACTTAACAGCAAATAATACAACATTTAAAACCGGAACTAGTTGGTAAAATACCTGAATAACCGGTATGCAGAACCCAAAACCGTCAATGCATGGTTTAAAAGCCCAAAAAAGACGATGGAACATCAGCTTATCCTGTACTCGAACTTGATCCTCAGTGTATACATTGTTGTATACTGGGACGAAAACAGTCCCAGGATTGGACTCCTCCATTGCTCTCATAAGTCTAGGGAGTAAAGCATACGAATCCTCCCAATCACCATACACCTCAGCCATGGCTTTCTGCTTACCATGCCATGCTTTTTTGTACCTTATCGTGTAAGAATGTCGATCCTTCACCTCTGCCATGATAGCTTTCACCTTGATATCTGGTTGTGCTTCTATAAGGTGCTTAATAGTTCTCCCAACCTTCTTTGCTTTTAGTTGCCTGTGATCTTGGGAAAGTATAGAAGAGGAGCATGTGTGGATCGTCTCAGCTTTGCGAATCACCCAAGCACCCTTTCTCTTCATATTTGCAGCCCGCAGTTGCCACGTACAACCCTCTGCATCATGCTTGCATATGACATGTAATTGTTTACTGTCAGAATATTTTACCTTCCACTCGAAATTGCGCCTCAACGCCTCTTCTGTAAATGCATCCTGCACAGCGTCTTTCGATGTGAACGCCATACCCACCTCCAGATTGGCCGTTGGATTGTACACTGGCATAGGGACAAAGTCGGGGGGATCATTCTGACTATGTAAAAATTGAGTTGGAACCTGTGTGTAATATGGCGTGGGTGCCTCACGAAATGCCGCCTCATCCTCGTTATCATCAGTATCTTCCTCCTCCTCGCTCACTGATATCAAATCTTCCTCAGTATCCTCGTCGCTTAACTCGAATGGATAGCTCGAGCTAGAAGGATCAACATGACCATGATCACCAACATCGTCCTCTCGCTCATGTGAAGTACGCCCTGATCGAATGGTATTCTCGATTCCATACCACTCTGGCCCCCAAGCAGGCCATTGAACACCATCGGCCTCAACAAATGGGGCTGGTTTAGGAGGTTGCGAGTATTGGTCCCATCCTGCACTACTCGATCCACCGTAGTTGATTGAACCACCACCCTCCCCGTAACCTCCTGTATAACCACCGCCTTGGTAGTTGCTCGAACTACCACCCCATTCGTACCCTCCTGCAAAACCATCATCATAAGAATACTGGTGAGAATGAGATTCACCGAGCGCCTCGGTCTCAACATACACCTCTGCAAGCCGGACTTGGTTATCGCTTAGGAACTGTAACATCATCATAACCGCGTCATCATCGTTTATGACAACTTCTTGGAACACGACCCCGCCAGCACTCATGTCTGGATACCGGTAAGTAATTTTGCCAAGTCTCGTCTGTCCGCTCGTACAAACCCTTTCTGCACAAAGATCACAGAGTTCTTGAAAATTGAATCGGGATTCAATTTTCAGCATAATGGATTCGCCGTCCTCATAATCAATGCCTATGTCAGAGTTTGTCACCCTTCCATTCCACCGAATAGTAAGATGAAACTTCTTGAATTTACCCATATCTACAATTTACAATAAGTATCTATTAGCTTAAAGACAGTAAAATTAACCAAAATCATATTGTACAACTAATATTAAATCATACCATAAGTAACAAAAATAAATTCAACTAACTAACAACAACATAATACGAAAATTAAATCATACTATAACTAACGAACATAAGTTCAACTAACTAACAACAACATAATACGAAAATTAAATCATACCATAACTAACGAAAATAAATTCAACTAACAAACAACAACATAATACGAAAATTAAATCATACTATAACTAACGAATATAAGTTCAACTAACTAACAACAACATAATACGAAAATTAAATCATAATACGAAAATTAAATCATACTATAACTACTAAAAACATAATTAGACCATAATACGAAAAGTCTCAACATACCGAAAAATTTCTGTTCTGTGTATTATGCTCGATTTTGTCTGCTGAAATTTGAAGAAAGGGGAGTGGTTATGTTTTTACAACTGCTGGTGGTGTGGTATTTATAGGAAAATCTGCCTACTATTCACCGTTTTTGTCAAAAACGGTGAACACTATCACCGCGTTTGTCTCAAACGGTGAATAGGTGGTAGCTGCGACCTAATTTTTGACCTACCAGGGGTGGGAAACGTGGCTAATGATCACCGCGTTAGTTAACAACGGTGAAGGCTTCACCGTTTTGGTCAAAAACGGTGAAGCTTTCACCGTTTTGGTCAAAAACGGTGAAGCTTTCACCGTTGTTAATTAACGCGGTGAAAGCTTCACCGTTTTGGTATGAAACGGTGAATACTTCACCGTTTTTGTTTAAAACGTTGAAGTATTCACCGTGTTTGTCAAACGCGGTGATGATCTTCACCGTGTTTGTCAAACGCGGTGATGCTCAAACATGTGTACTTTGGGAATTTTTTTTATAACTCATGTATTTTGAGAATTTTTTTTAAGAACGTGTGTACTTTGGGATTTTTTCCCTATTTCAGTGGGTGATCAAATATAATGTTTATCGTACATCGTCAACAAATATTATTTTTTTTTGTTGATAATGGTGATAAATTGATATTAAAAAACAATAACAAGGAGAATGTACAAGCTACTAAGATCAAAAGATCTGATATCTCGCAGCGAGGAAAAAACAAAAAACAAAATATTACTCTAACATCCAAACATGTCATATATTTGTTATGTGGATGGCGCGGTAAAGGTGGGGTCCCATGCTGCGGGTGGGATGGTGGTACAGGATCAAGCAGGGACTGTGCTTTTTGCACAGGGTTTTGTGTATGCAGGTCTGACAGATCCATTTATGAGTGAACTAATGGCTTTCCGGGACGCGATTCATTGGTGCTCTGTGAAAGGTTTAACAGAAGTCTCGTTCCTGGGTGATAAGCAAGTTGTTATTTCCAAAATCAAGGATCTGATGACTTGGGATGAGCGGGGTGGTGCGATTTTAGACGAGATATCTCAACTCTGGGAGTTATTCACAGGATTTTCGGTTGGGTTTCGAGGCAGGGAGAACAATCAAGCGGCTCATTTGGTAGCCAAAAAGGCTCTTTCTTTGTTTCCTACAGGTGTTTGTGGTTTTGATTTTCGGGTTTGGTTGTTATGTGGTTTGTAAACATTGGTATCTATTTCTCTTGGTAATGCAAGTGAGCTTTTGGGAAAAAAAAAATCCAAACATGTCATATAATACTTTTACATCTTCACATTTTCTATCTAGACCTATTGCTATACAATACACGTTTTATTTTATAGATATGCATTAGATATAAGAGAGTATTTAATAACAAAAAATAAAATAATATATTTCACTTTTGAAAGCTGATTGTCTAACAATTGTTTTCTCTCCTTCCATATTTATATTTTGTTTAATCGATAAAATTATTTTTTTATTTATGCATGTGTTTGATTAAAATTTTCAATAAAATGTAACTTATTATTAAGTTTAGTAAAAATGAGTAGAAGATTACTTGATAAAGTTTAATAAGATATTTTGATTTGAACAAATACAATATATATCACTCTACAAACATTAGTCTATTGTTACAAACATAGATATAATACAAAAAAATGAATTGTTGAATAAAAAAACAAAATCATTAAAAGAAGAGAGAGATAACACCATAAATAGATCATTAACTAACTATTTTTTTTGTAAAAAGATTGTCCACCTCGCCAAGAAGTTGTTTTTGAACAAACATAATATATATTAAGAAGATTAAGATTAAGAAATAAAATTAAGAAGATAAGATAAGTTAATATGTTGTGCAAGTCCTAGTATTTTGTTTTGAAAATTCTTTCTATTTTAAATAAAATCATGCATTTTGTCCTATAACCATGCCTTATCCGATTACGCCCTCCTTTGATCACTTTTAAGAAGATTAAGATTAAGATTAAAATTAAGAAGATAAGATAAGATAAGATAATAAGCTGTGCAAGTCTTAGTATATTGTTTTGGAAATTCTTATAACCATGTCTTATCCGATTATGCCCTCCTTTGATCACGTTTGTTTCTCCTTAGATGGTAAGGCTACATGAAACTTAATCATGTCATTACACATTACTTGATGAACTGATCTATGAGTTTAGGTGGATAAAAGATAAAGTCTCCCGTTGCTTGTATCTCGTACCACGATGTACATAACAAAGGGTCCAAACCCGTTTTGGCTAATATTTCATGCATTACAAGATAGACCATAGTCCATAGCAAAAAGAAAGAGGGATCTAAATCTACATAGGCTGAATTCATACTACTAATTACCTCAACTTAACTATCTAATTCGACCATCTATCTCCAAGGCTGTCATTTAAATATTTGAACTCAGTTGGGGAATTGTTGATGTGGCGCTTCAATTTATCAGTAAGTGAATGCACAACTTCAGCCAGATCTTTTTTTGCCATCCAAATGTGCATTGGATTCAACCAGTGTTTCTTGAAATGCCAATATCTTCTTTTTGGTTTCCTCGATCGTGGCATTCGAGGATGTCATCTCATCATTATACTTCTGTATCTCATCTTCAACATTCTTGATCGCTTGTTTGATTGACAACATCTTGTTGATACGATCTTATGTCACAGTGACCTCAAATCCTTGTCTTTCCAACTCAGATAAATTGATGAGAATGTCCTTCAACAAAGTCTCGACACCATGGATCCAAAGATTGGATATTGTCTCCATCAGATTGGAGAAAGTTACGATCATACTAATGACTTCACCTTTACGACAATACTCTTCACGTTCCATGAGAGAGATGAAATTAATTTTTTGTGTCATATTCCTGAATATTTTCATGGATTCGATTGATGACCAAGCTGGTGACCTCTTCACGATTGGGAACACTACAAGGTAGAAGATAAGTACATAGCTAACCCAAGTTTTGAAGTAGGGAAACAACAAAGGGATCAACTTAGAGCATTTTACTGTCTTCCTTAGCAATCCAGGAATAGAAAATGAGCTATATAATGTCCCCGCTTGATCCTCCAAATTAATCTGCAAAGAGAGACATGAACATGGTAGAAAGAAGAAAAAACACCAACAATCATATTATAAAAAAACAGAACCTTCTCATGGACTTTTCATTTGTGGCATACAAAATGGCTAAATCCTCAATAGTTGAGGTGCCATTCTTTTTTTCTTGATTAATATGGTCGTAACTTGGAACCCCTTTCTCGTCTCGAAACCAAATTTTATAGGCTCGCCGCTCAAGTAGACCCATGCTCCTAAGAGCTGAAAAATTGGAGCACTCCTATAGATTGTGTTCTCTTTCAGTCTGGGGATAATCGTCGACTATCATGCTAGAATACAGTGCGAGCAATGACGAAAACCCCGTTAGACCCACAACCATTTGCAGACACAAAACTCTAGATATATAGGTTTGACGCTCAGATAATTCTAGGCTCACATTCCTAGGAACTAAAAAATTGAAACCAAACCCTCCTAGCCCGGGTGTATAAGGGGAAGTATTTTCCGCGTGGGTCCTTCCTCTCAGCGACTGCTCGATCACGGCCTTCCTGGGGGTGGCAAAGTATTCTGTATGGTAGGGAGCTGCTCGTTCGTGGGCTTAGATGGCAAGTGGGGGATGGTAGGGAGGTAAATGCGTTAACTGAGTGTTGGATACCAGCGCTCCATCCTAACCCGCCCACGGTGAATCCAAGAATTTTCCCTGAGGAGGATCTAAAGGTGGCGAATTTTGTTTGCCCAGTTGAGGGGCGGTGGTTGGTGGATAAATTGGGTGAGTGGTTTCCCCCTGATGTTTGCCGTGCTATTCGTAGTATTCCGTTGCCTAGGAGGGCGATGGAGGATAGGCTTGTTTGGCACATGACAGGGGATGGGGTGTTTTCGGTGAAATCTGCTTATCATCTGGCTGTAAGCTTGGATCAGCAGGCTGGAGGCTGGCGCCCAACAGTTAGTTGGATGGATCGGGCAAGTTGGAAGCGGGTGTGGAATCTCGGGATTCCGCCCAAGTTGAAGGTGTTCTTATGGCAAGTGTTGCATCGTTTCTTGCCCACTACAGAGGCGCTTATCGGGAGGAGGGTGGCTGTTCATCCCCGGTGCCCGGTTTGCTGGGATGCGCCGGAGACGATGGAGCACCTCTTTTTTGACTGTCGGGTGGCTCGGGCGATGTGGGATTATGCGGGGTTAGAGCATGTGGGCCAAGGGTTGCCTCGCCATACTTTCCCTATTTTTCTGAACAGACTGCTGGCCATCATCAAAGACCCTTCGCAGATCATGGCGGTGGTGGCTGTGCTCTGGCGAATCTGGAAGTCAAGGAATTGGGTGGTCTTTGAGGGCAAACAATTTGGGTTTCCGGCTTTACTCCGTCAGTACCACCAGCAGCTGGGGGAATGGGTATCTCTCCCGAGGGAGGGGATGGGGTGCAACCCGGTGGATTGTATTCCTCGGGTGCCCCATGCCCCCCAGGGTACCATTGTTTGTAGGTGGGATGGAGCGGTCAGGTATGGGTCGCATTCGGCTAGGGGGGTGGTGTTGCTGGGCCCGGACAGGGAGGTGGATGGTGCTATAGGTGTCTATCTTCCAGAGGTGGATGATCCGAAGCTCGTTGAGCTTTTGGTTTTCAGGGAGGCCATCCTGTGGTGCCGCAACCGAGGGCTCAGGCAGGTTCAATTTGAGGGGGATGCAAAGGTGGTGATTGATAGGCTCAATTCGGCCCAAGGGAGTGATAGTACTGCGGGTGCGATTTTTCGTGAAGTGCTGCTCTATCTGGCGGAGAATGAAGGGTTTAGGGTTCGTTTCGTTGGTCGGCGTAGTAACAGGGTAGCCCACATGGTGGCTAGAAAGGCCCTTTCTTTGTACCCGACAGCGAGTCGGTCTTTTGATTTTGTAGCCTGGTTAAGGCATATGATGTAACGATCTATTCTTCAGTATCAATATATGATTATCTTTTGTCAAAAAAAAAAAAAAGAAACCAAACTTCTATTGATAAGTAATTTGATCATCTGTTGATAGTATTTTTATTACTTATAAATTGCGAATAAATTTGTACTTTCTTGCTATTTTGTTCGCTATTAAACATCAAAGGTAGATCGTTTGAAAAATAATTGCAAACTTATTTTTAAAAAACTGCCAACTCATTATTAAAATTGTGTTAATACTTTTATTAATTATGTATTGGGAAATAAGATTTATTTTTATATTTGATTCAATATTATTTTGTATTGTGATTGTTTTGGTGATTATCAAATTTTCAGCATTGGAAATTTTGATTTTTTGGCCAAAAATTTATTTCCAATCATCAAGTAGGACTTTCCGTAATTACATCTACCTATATCTACTAATTAATTAATCATAAATATCTTTCCTAAATTCTATTTAACAATAATGAGAAATTCTTATTATAAAAATAAAAAAAGAGGAAGGATAAATAATAAGTTCTTAGTATAAATCTTTTAGTAATTATTAATTACCATTAAAAACAAAAACGTATTCACCTCCCTCAAATTGTTGTTTACCTCATCTCTCCCTTCTTTTATCTCTTCTTCCTCTCACAAAATTCCTAGATCTAGCTCCCTTATTCCTTATACCCTTCACTATTCCAGAGCAGAGAGGATCTCATTTCTTCCCTCCCTCTATTCTTCTTTCTTGCGAACTCCCTTCACTAACTCCTTCTTTCTCTTTTCTGGAAACTCTTTCAATTCAGAAGAAAGAGAGCTAATCCCGCTTTCTTCTTCCTCAACCTTCCTAACCGGCCTAGAAAACAACTTAGATCAATCCAATCAGACATGGAGAGCTTCGATCAAAGTAAGATCGAGTCATGCATGTGCCTTTCCTTTTGTTTTTGGTATTTTTCTTCATTTTAATTGAGTTTTCCCCCTAGTTTTGGAGTCCTGAACGTGGAGGAAAATGAGAACCTAGAGTTGGCTGGCAATGTCATCGTCGACGATCAACGGTGACCCAACACTGTTACTTTAAGTGGGTGATGCTCTTTTTTGGGATTAATTCTTCGGATTTTTTTCCTCTTTGAAATCCTTTGATTCTAATTGTGTTCTTTCTTTTGTAGGTGAGGAATTTTCTGATTTTGTTGAAAGAAGAACAAAGAAGAAAAAGAAAAGAGAGAGAGGGGAGGAGAGAGATTATGAAAAAAGGAAAATAAGTTCCCTCCTGATATTTTCTCCGATTTGTAGGGATCGATTATTGGAAGAGAGAGGGCGAGGAAGAGAGGGATTCAGAATTGTCAATAAAGCCCTTCCACACTGTGCGTCTGTTACAGCAGAGGCTGACATGGCAAAGGCTGTTTTTTGACATTGGCTTATAGTATTTTGTACCTAACAACTAGTGTCATTGTGGCAGGAATATACATGTGTATGAAAACAACAATCATAACCACTTCCACTAATTTCAGTGTGGTCTTGTTTAAAGTAGTGACATAATAACCACTTTCACTAATCACCCTAAAGAGAAAAAGCAATGGCATAACTTTGATGAGCGATGTGTATGAAAACAACTAGTGTCCTCCGCGACATCCGACAATGTTATTAGTTTGTAGTTCAAAAAATAAGCTAGGTCAACCATCCTTGCAGTGGTCCACAGTGAGCACGTTTAAATTTGAAGTTCTCACAAGAACTCTTCCATTTCACCCCAAAAAAGCGTCTTGTTAGTGAAGATTGTTTCTTACTCATGAATCATGATATGACCCAGATCCGAAGAGAACCCTCGAACTCGGATGATAAAACCAAAGTATGCAGCTCCAACGATCATTTCTTAATTTTCTTGATTTCCTTGATTCCTCGAATTTTTTGATTTTCTCGATTCCTAGACTTTCTGGATATTCTTGAACTCGGAAATAAAAAGATAAGGTCGAACACAATCAAATAGATCCTAAATCGTGTGAAGGGTCAGTTGGTATATTAAACCAACCAAATAATCACTAACTCGTTGATAAGGCCAATAGCTATTAGGTAGATGCTCGCCAAAACTAGACGCATTCTCTAGTTGATAAGAGACATGTGAAAATCTCCTGGATCCTCGACAGAAATATTTGCACAAACGTTCATGAATTAACACGAGTAAACACTCTATAACTTGATTTGAATATTCGATACAAAATTCGTAGGTACACCCTCTATTTATGGTGACACAATAACATAAAACTAACCTTCTAGAAATAGGAAAATAAATCAAAGCAAATAATTAAAACAATTAAGTTCCATATTGCACTGCTTGGGTAAGATCAGGTGATTAGGGGGGTCCCTTAGTCACATGACTAAGCCAATCTCAGCCTTTGACCCTCATTCAAATATAATGGTTCTAATTAATACAATTTCATAAAGAGTAATGTGGTAATTGCAGGTTTTTATATTATTAATTATTAAATAATTTCTTTTACAAAAATTAACCTACATCCTTTCCCCTCCCCCAACCAGGCGTCCCTAACTCCGGCGACCTTTTATGGGAAATCCTCTCAGCGCCAGCGGCGCCTTGTCTTTTTTGGCCAGAGAGCTCCGCTGTCCCTTTTCTGGGAAGTGGGGAACTCTTCCCAGGGGGCCTTTTGGCCAGAGAGAGAAATTCGATGATTTTTCGGTGGCGGCAAAAAAAATCAGTCGCGATGAGAATTTTTCGACGATGGAAGATTATTCCGGAGACAATGGCAGTTTTATGATGTTTGTTGTTCTATTTAGTAACATTTGTAAGTCTGGTTTGTAATGTTTATATCAATTCGGTTTATATTGTTTATCATTATTGTTTGTCATTTTTTTCTATTATATTTGAAATGTTTATATGACTATTTTGTATATATTTTAATTTGTAATATTTTTTTATAGAAACATACGCTTAGCTTTATTGATTAATTGACACAGTTACATCATCAAGTTTCAGCTGATTAATAAAAAAATGGGCGGTCGATCAAACCACACCTCAGCCTCTCCCATCGAGTCTCCATATGCGCCATAATATGTGCTGCAATGTTTGCTGATCTACTAACATGTCTCGTTCTCCCATCAGGATCCGCATTCAACAATCGCTTTATGCTCCTACATATTGTCCCCAACTCCGTGTGTATGGAGTCCGCTTCCTTTATTGCCTTTTCTATGGTTTGACAGTCAAGCTCGAGGATTGGGGTGCCCAGGTTATGTTGTTGAGCTAATTGAATGTCAAGTTTCGCCGCTAAACCTCACCTTTCTCCAATTCTTGTACCCCCAGCTACTTCTTCGCCGCCTCCATGAGGAAGTGCCCACTGTGATCTCGAATTACCACACCAAGTCCTACTCCCGTTGGAAAAACTCCCACGTCTGTATTAACTTTTATCCACCCCTCCGCCGACTATGTCCATCGCTTCTCCAAGCTGTCTCGGGCATTTGGTTCGGCCCTCGCCTGTCTTTGCTGATATTCATCAAGATGTGAAACAACTCTAGGAATAATTTCCTCCTCATGTAGCTTCACCCCATTGAACAAGTGAGCATTCCTTTCTTTCCACAACATCCATAACACATATGCCAGTCTTCAAACTCCTATGCCGAAACAATTTCCGCTACCTTTCTCTCCCACTCCAAGCATGTCAAGGTTTCCCTCATAGAGAAGAGGCCAGCCGTTGGGGAGACCCTCCACAACCTGCTAGTCCACTCACATTCATAGAAAATATGAACTTGAGTTTCCTTCTAGTTACAAAATGGGCACGCGTCCCCCCTTCGTTGGCTTCTTGCACTTACATGGTCACCCGTAGCCAGGGAATCCCTTGCAAACCTCCACATAAATATGCGGACCTCCGATGGGGTATTCATTGACCAGATGTGCTTCCACATTGTCAGGTCACCCACTGCCATTGCACCCTGCAAGCTTTGGAGCTCATCTAACCATGTCCCGGTAGACATCCCTCGCAATATGGTTCCAATCTCTACTGTCACCCCATATCTTCTTGTCCACCTCATGCTCTCCACGTAGAGGGATACCCCTTATAGATTTCCCCATATTAGAAGGGAAACAACTCTCAATTAATGTGTTATCCCATCGTCCAGTCTCCTCGTCAATCAGTTTCCCAACCCTAAAGTCTTCAGGAATGCCCCTCGGTGCTGATTGGACCAAGAAATCCTTCGTTGAGGGTAGCCACATGTCACCCCAAATTCTTACCGAAGCTCCATTTCAAATTCTCCAACGAAGGCCACTCACCAAAAATTATTGTGCACTAAGCAGACTACGCCACACATAGCTTGGTCGATGGCCTAAACTCATGTCCAAAATCGAATCATGCTTATGCTACTCTGCCTTAAGAATGCAGGCGACAAGAGAAGTTGGTATTTGGTAGAGATTCCATAGCTGTCGGGCCAAGAGGGCAACGTAGAAACCTCGGAGATAAAAAGAGCCCATACCTCCATCAGGCTTCCTACAAATCAACGACTCCCTCGCAATCCATGGAATGTGTTTCTCCTCACCCCTTTTCCCCACCAGAATGTCGTAATAAGGCTATGGATGTCATCAATGATTCCGTCTGACACTTTGAATACTGACATTGTGTATGTTAGTGGGGTTTGCGCCATAGAATTGATCAGAACCTCATTCGCCCACCTTTCCTGAAATAGTACTTGAACCATGGTCCAGGTTACTCTTCTTCTTTCCTTGGTTATTATTATAAATTTTCCACCTTCATGATTATGCTTCTCCCCATGCACATCAAATCCCTCCTTATTTCTCCCCACGTCTTCGCCATGCAAGGGTATCTTCTCATCCTTCTCACAATCTTCATGTGCAGAAGTCTCCCTCACTATCCCCTCCGCATCCAGATCACCATCTAGAACCTCATATCGGTTATATGTTCCCACTTTTTCCAAAGAAACTCGTCCTCTCCCATCTCTCTTTGTTGGACGTCGATCTCTTTTCTTAACAACCATCCATTCCCCATATATTTGCCCATGTGTTGGATCCTCCACATTTTCCGCTTTCTTTACCTATCCATCCTCCTCTTCCATATCATTGGATTTAGTCAATGACTGTCTGAAGTTGGCTTGCCATAGGTACCACAATTAGTACAAATATTCTCCAAGCCCTTGTATTGTATCACATAGGTAATACCTTCAATTTTGTACTGCGATAGGAGGGCCCGGGTTAAGTCCACTTCCACACATACCCGCGCAAACTTGCCTCTTGCTCCTAGTTCCGTCGCTCTATCAACACAAAACGGTTTGCCAATTGTCTCTACTATCCTCATCACAACTTCCTTATTGATAAACTCGATCGACAGTTCTAGTAGCTGTACCCAGATAAGCGTAGATTCCACCTTAGTTTTCCAAGGATTAAACCCTTTAAACCAACGACGGACCGTGAGATAGGTATTCCCTAGCAGCCACAAACCTCCCATTGTAGCAAACTCATAGTCATGCTGGTGGTGAAATCTCACCAGCAAGCACCCGTTTCTCTTGTCGAAGATTTGGATCTCTCCGTGTCTAGCCCACAAAACATTCAGCCTTCTCGATAATGGTAAGAAAGAGACCCTTCGTCCCAACCCCTAAACCACCAAAGCTGACCTCCATTCCCTTCGTCATTTTATCTTTTTTGCCGCAGTGAAGAGAATCGGATGGCATTTCTGATCAAAGTTGTCCTGGTCAAGCACATCATCTTCTGCTCTCTCCGCCTGAGCTACATATCCTCGGAGACTGACTCCTTAACATACCAATTATTTTGCTGGAGAACATCAGCAAACCGATGCCCCATCCCCTCCCGCCATGCCAGGGAGTTTCGCATATGTCTCGTATCAGTTTCCATCTCGTATCAGTTTGTCGGTTCCTTTTGTAATGTTTATAAGCTTTATTATTTTTGTCCAACATGTTTGTCATTTTTGTCCACCATGTTTGTAATGTTTTTATGTTTACAAAATAAACTGGTTGACTTTCGGACGAAAGTCCTCTATATAGAATCGATCCTTCGACATTTAAAAATTGTTCAACACCATTCCTATAGTCAGCACAGAATCAATCCTTCAACTTTGACCAACTTCAATTCATTCTGACTTTGCACTTAAATTAAACTAACCTTCAATTGCTGGTGTTCCTTAAGTGCAGCAGGAGTCTCAAATCTCAAGCAAAGAATTTGAAATCCACCTGCAAAAGGAAATAAGGTTGGTAAGAGATTTATGCATAAATGATCAAATGTTTCAAGATCAAACTGGCCAAAAGGCAGAATGAATATGATGTATTCCTAAAAGTAGAGAGTAAGTAGTTTGCATTCAACAATAGCAGTCAAACAGGCAATAAGTAGTACAAAGCAGGAAGAACTTATCAATTGGAAATATGACCAAATCATACTGCATTACACTACTACACCTAGGGGAAACTTTACCTAACTGGTTGATGTTTGTAACAACTAACAACAATTTGCATTCAAATAGTGAAAGCTTAGCAAAATTTGTCGCCCTAGTGTTGCTTTATAGATTTTAAAACCATCACACATCACAATCAACACGAGCACTTCTACTATGTTATATAGTATTGGTGCTTTAATGTACAACTTAAAGTTGTACCATAACATTAAATGTATAAGTTTAGGTTGTACCATAAAGCAATTTGTACCATTATGTTATGGTACAACTTTACAACTTGAAGTTGTACCATCAAATAAAAGTACAAGTTCAAGTTGTACCATAAAAGAATTTGTACAAAAAGTATAGGTACAATCTGAAGTTGTACCATAAAGTAAATGTACAATTTTAAGTTGTACCATAAAGACAAAATCCTATAGCACCAATACTATATAGCATCGTAAAATTTCTCCAATCAACACAAATCGAGTAACAAAAATAAAAAAATGAACAAAGCTTTAATTTGACCAGATGGAGCACAAAGGTCCAAAGCTAGCTTTGGCTTTCACCCATGCAAGCAAACGTCTGCATGTGACTATAATAGACCCACCCAGCTGCTTGCGATAAACCCTCCAGCCATGCTCAATTATTCACGTCCTCGAGTAGCAGCAACAAATAAATTGCCAAAACACTATTTATCCATCAAGAACACTCTCAATTGATCTTTAAATCACCGAATCCACATTTTTTATTTTTGGACCACGGGACTTAAATATCGTGTTGGTCGATATCGCATCAAGTCATGGTTCTCTCCCGTGCTTTGTTAATGTGGAATTCGCCTGACGTGTTACATAAAAAAAACATATTTTGAGGTTAAATGGAATAGTTATTGTAAGAACTCCAAAATTAAACGTGCTCGCTCTGAAACACTAAAAAAAATGGATAACCTTTTGAAAAATCACCATAATATGCACTTCAAAGCAAAATCTAAGAGAGTTTGAGTTCAAAACGGACTATATCTTATCGAAAAAAAGATTCATCAAATATTACATTGTTCATTAAGCACCATAGGGGGGAAAAAGGTGTAAAGAAAGGGTAGCAAATATCATCTTTGTTTGCCTAAACTGTCCCAGCCTTACCTTGACACCTTGCATCTGTCATATCCCAATCATGGCATTGGCAGGTCGATATTTCTCCAGATTGGACATCACAATTAACCAGACGCAGGACAGGGAAATATCGGGAACGAAAGTAAGAGAAGTCCAATAAGTGGCCGTGGGCCCGTGGGCCGTGGGGCACAACCCAACCATTCATAAATATGGTCCCGGGGCCCATGCCATAGGGAATCCTATATCATTATTATTATAATATATAAAGGAAGCGTCTGTGGAGTTGCAATAGGCTCAATAATTACAATGGCAGTGGCGGTGGCTGCAGGGAATGGCAAGTGGTCGCTCGGAGGAACGACGGCGCTCGTCACCGGCGGCACGAAAGGGATCGGATTCGCCGTCGTGGAGGAGCTGGCCGGGCTCGGGGCAAGCGTGTACACCTGCGCGCGAAACGAAGCGGAGCTCGACGACTGCCTAGCCCAATGGAAGTCCAAAGGCTTCACGGTGAGCGGCTCGGTGTGTGACGTGTCATCTCCGCCTCAGCGCCAGCAGCTGATGGACAAAGTCGCTTCCCACTTCCAAGCCAAGCTTCACATCCTCGTACGTATCAACTAAGACTTGTTATTATAAGGATTTTATACTAATTAACGTTGTAAGTGTATCTTTTCTCTTTTTCTCTTCATTGGGATTTCACATACTAATTATAGTCCGGTAAGTTAATTTAACAAATTTTAACATTTAGTGTAAAAAATTTTATTATTTTGTATTTAAGTCCTAAAATGTTTATGAAAAATTATGTTTTAGTATCTGATTCTTTTTTTACAATCGGAAACTTAGAAATTTTAAGATTTACAAATAGATTTTATTTTATGATGTTTATAGTCTGTTTTGATAAATTTGTAGTTTACTTTATAAAGTTTCTGTTATGCTTTATAAAACTTGTGATCTGCTTTATCATTTTTGTTTATATGTTTGAGAGAAATTGTGGTATGCTTTATGCACGTTTGACAAAGTAATTCATCATTTAATCTCAATATACCACATACAAAAATAATTCATCCGAACCACCATTATGTCCAAGCTTTAGTGCGTTATATATTTCTTTCATAATATTGAAGTTTTGGAATGCTTTCACCCAAACTCAAACTAATTTAGATTAGTGATGGATTAATTAAGATTATATTTAAGTAATACCTCAAATTCCCACCATCGGCGGATCCAGAACATAGTAGAGCATCGGGTCGCATTTGAATATAATACTAGATGTCGTAAACAAAAATAGTCAACATTCTAAAATTTAAGTATTTCAAATGAGAAATTACTTACAAAATTACCAACGATAATAGACAAATGACTGATATTTTGATGCTATCATCTTTAATCCATGTCCTCATTACAAAAACTGGTTACCACTGATTTAGATCAAAATCCACATCTGTGGCCGAAGAAGAAGGATGGGAAGTAGAAGAAACAGCAGTGTTCTTTAATATTCTGTATTTGAAATACCAAATTTGGTAGAATAGTACCCAACCAAATCCAGTTTGTACCGCGGATCCATATCCCAGTATTTGGTAAACTTATCCCACATTTTGAATGTTATGTTTCAGCAAACTCCCACTGCTCGTTAGTTGGCAAAGAGTTGTATTGAGGTTCCCTTCTTTTCATAAGGGAGAACACATTCTTATATGGGATAGCAGCAGAAAGCGAGTGGGACAATAGCTTTATAATTTGGAAAGTGTAACAGCTATTCTCCCTCTATTTTGGTCCATGACCGTTTGAATTTTAGATCTCTCGAACCCATAAATAGTCACGATGTCTTTTTTTATGGTATTTCGGGTTGGGACTTTGAAAAGAGGGTTCAAGGTGCAGCAAAACCTTTTGAAGTACAGGTGGTCAACAATAGAAAGGGGATACTCATGCACCAAGATCATGGTGCAGAGCTCCTTTCTAGACACCTCACTACTGAATTGATTGGTACTCATGTCTGCTGTACCATTCACAAAGGTTTGGAATATAATACTAGATGTCGTAAACAAAAATAGTCAACATTCTAAAATTTAAGTATTTCAAATGAGAAATTACTTACAAAATTACCAACGATAATAGATAAATGACTGATATTTTGATGCATTACAAAAAATTTAGTTAATATTTTATATTTTGAATGGTTTGGCTAATAATTTGGAAAGTGTGAAAGGTTTGGTTAATAAATTGTGTTTCATTAATGCCAATTGTAATAGAAGATTTTTTAATTTGGGGAATCCCATAAATAATATAATCTCCATCCATATCAATAGCATATTCTCTCTCTCAAATAAAATAGCTATGCAATCAATGAAAAATTCATCGCGCATTTTGTTGCTCAAATTAGTTTTCACATATTTCATTACTTAAAATGTTCTCTCCATGGTAGCCGCTATAAACGGGTAAGGTCAACATTGGACGAATCAACCAAAAAATCACTTTGTTTAGAGGGTTTTCTTATTTCAATGAAACTTTATACGGTCTTTTACATTTTAGATATTTAGGTTTTTTTTCAAATGAAAATCATCCGGGCTAGAATTTCTAGGCTAAATTGGGAGTAGTTGTTTGCATATGTTTATCTAGACCGCTTTTCTAGCTACACAAAATTCTATTATCAAATAACACTCGACCGACTTTTAAATAGTACTGGGCCGGAAACACAAATAACTCATTGGAATAACCGCTAGTTAGATTATTTTCTCGTACCGTATTTTACTAATTATGCCATGTATATATACTTATACGATGAGGAGCAGGTGAACAACGTGGGAACAAGCATAGTGAAGGCGAGCGTGGATTACACGGTGGAGGAATTCAGGTGGCTGATGGGCACCAACCTGGAGTCGGCCTTCCACTTGAGCCAGCTGGCGCACCCTTTGTTGAAGAACAACACGGAAGGGGCCAGCCTGGTCTTCATGTCCTCTGTCGCTGGAGTTACTTCTGTCAGTTTTGGATCCGTTTACGGGGCAACCAAAGGTTAAAAAAAACACACACATACAAAATCACCAAAGTATTTATTATGATTATTGATTATTATAATATATTTTGATGATTGAAGGAGCCATGAATCAGCTAACCAAGAATCTGGCATGCGAGTGGGCCAAGGACAACATAAGGGTCAATTCAGTGGCTCCTTGGTTTACCATGACTCCTCTCGTCGAATCAGTTAATTAATTTCCATATATACCTTCAATTAACCTCCTGCTTTAATTCAATATTTAATTTGATTTTTTTTTTCGCCCTGGAAATTAACATGAGTTTTTAAGTTGTAGCACTTGGAGGATAAGAAATTCGAGGAGAGCGTGATAGGGAGAACTCCGATGAGGCGCGTGGGGAAGGCGGAGGAGGTAGCTTCATTGACGGCCTTCCTCTGCATGCCCGCTTCATCCTACATCACTGGCCAAACCGTTTGCGTCGACGGTGGGATGTCCGTTCACGGCTTCACCTTCCCCTGATGTTTACTGTAACTGTAATCGACCTTTCTTTACTTTTTCGGAGCCATAACTACTATATCATTTCATTCGAGCTTGAAGATCATCTCCTAGCAGAAGAAGATATAGAGGAATTTAAGCTTCTTCGTAATATTGTAATCTCTCATGAACTAGAATTAAGCTTTGTAATATTGTAATCTCTCTCCTTTTTATGAACTAGAATTATTCACTTGCGACGTTGATGAATCCTAGTTCTAGATTTTGGATTGTTTGTTGATGTGCTTGTGAGACTTTTTGACCTAGGCGAGGGTCGAATATCCGCTTATAGCTAGCCCATTTTTGGAAATTCATATCACTTCTCAATCTATATATAGTTCCGGGTTAATCTCCGATGGAGTGAATTTGATGGATCTCCTCATCAAAGTATAGGATTTGAAGTAAACCCCCCTAGTTAGGTTGAATAGAGCACCTACCAATTCATCACTTTGGGTCTTTGAACAAGTGTGATAGGGTTTATAGTGCCGCGCGTATTGTGAAACACCGTGTCGGGTTTTCTCAAATCGTGGGAATTAGCGGTTAGTACCTCAACAGTCTTTTGCCGGTTGTTTGGTACGCCTCTTCGGGTAGCGCAATTTTTTTAGGGTTGGATCGGATGCACTCGAATAGGAGGTCCAACCTAGTCTAGTATTCTCTGCTGTAGAGATATCGAGTCAATCAATGTAGGAAAGTTATCAACATCGACCAAAAGAAGGGATTAGAGGGATGCATGCCTAAGTGAGCTCCAAACTTGTAATTAACTATGGTAGTGATTGGGTTAGTTTAGCTATATTAGTTTTTAATCACTATTCTTGTTTGGCTACATAACGATACCTAGGTTGAAGTAAGGTACATATAGACACACGTGATTCGATATTTTTATTACTTGCTTACCCTATGTTGCAGTACCCGGTCGTTGGTTATACTTGGGCTTTAATTGAGAAGTTATAGTTAGAGTGAGCCAATGGAGCTCAATCCGGCACCACGAGGCCATATTCGATGAACAGAGTTGCAGATTTGGAATCGTACATTCAGCCTCCTCCTTGTGGTGACAATAAATAAATCCAACTCCCTCATTTAGATTTTCCTTCCTTTAATGGAGACAATCCTAGTGAGTAGACCAGAAAATGGTAGAATCTCTATGAGATTTATGTGACACCAATGGAACATAGGATTAACATAGCGGTGACATACTTTGAATGTCGTCCAGATATATGGTTTGAGGGTTGGAAAACTGGTTGTAGAGAGCTAGCTCGGTAAGAATTTGTGATGGTCTTGTGTGGTATGTTCAGTGGTTGGTCGTTAAGTGGAGTTGTGGGTGATTTCAATAAGTTGAGGCAAAGAGAATCTCTACTGGAGTACCAAGAGAAATTCAAAGACCTTAAGACGCAAATGATTCGTTATAATCCTGCGCTTCAAGAGGAGTATTTCATTTTCCAGTTTCATAAGTGGGTTAAATGAGGAATTGCGACCTATAGTCACAATGATGGAGCCTCATTCCTTAGCCCATGCATTTTAGATTATCAAGCTGGAAGAAGCATCAAATGAGCAGGAGAATAGAAGTGGGATGTATGAAGAAGAAGAAGAAGAAGAAACAAAAAGAGAAGAGGAAGAGGAAGAGGAAGAGGAAGAAGAGAGGTGAGGATAGAGGAAGAAGAACATTGGGAAAGTTCAATTCTTTTATTCGACAATAATTCCAATGTCAACACAAGATTTTTGACAATTACAAAATGATCCTCCATATTACAATATGTGACGAGCAAGTCCTAATCGTTACAATCCTGACTCTTCGAGAATAGGCTTGTCCTCAAGGATGAAAAACAAATGAAACAACAATGTGCTAAATAAAAACAAATGAAATTAACTGAAGTTGTAATTGTTAGAGAAAATAACAAGCACCGCAACAACATAGAATGTAGACTGCACACCCAACATTAATGCCAAGTGTCACCGACACAAAGAAGAGGGGAAAGTTGCAGTTCTAGACCACCAACAACAACATATGCATACCAGTAGGGAAGCAGACTTTGTTGTATCATGATGCCATTCATCTCTGGTACACCTTCTTGGCCTCTTAGACTGTCTCCAACCTAAGCATGCAAATTTGGAGAAAGGGAGGTTTTTGGCTTTTTTCATCTCCAACCCACCAATTATTTGGCTTGCAAATTTGGAGAACTGGGCTTGGGGGTGGATAGATAGAAGCTGATATGGATAAATGCAAGGAGAAGGTGGGGGACCAACCATGGAACCCAAGCCCACACGCTGGGGCCCTCCACTTTCCAGCATCTTTTTTTTTTTTTACTTTCTTAATTTTTGATTGGTTGGTTATGAGTTGGGAAGACAAATTTAGAAGGTTTAGGGTTGGAGCAAAAAAGTGTTTTTGGAAGGTAAAATTGCACATTTGAGAGCTTGAGAGGCAAAATATAACCTTTTGGGTTGGAGTTAGTCTTATAGTATAAAAATAGTAGCAAGAAACTGAACATGTCACAGTCCAAAACCAAAAAATGATTCTTATAAGGCTCTCAGTAGTCAGCGTCCATGCCTCTACCATGAGAGGAGACGACAAATTGGCAAATCCGAGTTTTAGCAATAGATCGAAACCCTTCGAGGTTAACCCTTGTCCTCGTGGGCTGGTGGAGACACTATATAATCTAGCATAGATGCTCCTGCCAATAGAGATACCTTGAACTCATTGTCTGCGAACCGTGCGGCAAAGACGGTCACAATGGAAGGAAATATGGGGCTATAGGTGAATCCCCAATCAAGGAGGTTGACTTTATTAGTACTCGTTATCATCAAGCTCGCGATTACGGTCGCAATAACTACGGATACCAGAATCCTCAACCTTTTTAACCTTCTTCCACCTATAGGAGCTTGGATAATCGTATTGAATAACAATTATAGAGATTGGAGACAATTATTAGCTTAAAAATGGCCACTTCTAGGAGGTCAGAAGACGGCCGACTACTAAAAAATATCATCGACCAATGCGCCGTATCTTTATGACACACATTGGGATAGTAAGGCTCTACCCCATCTTCATTGGGTAATAAAAGCAAACTCAGCATCCCTAGGATTTGATACGACCCCCCCCCCCCCCCCCCCCCCCCCCCCCCCCCCCACCCACACACACACATTGAACAACGATTATAGAGCTTGGAAACAATTACCAGCTAAAAAATGGCCACTTCTGGTAGGTCAGAAGCCAGCTGACTACTAAAACATATCATCAACCAATGAGCCATATCTTTATGACACACATTGGGATAGTAAGGCTCTACCCAATCCTCATTAGGTAAGAAAATAAAATTCGGAACCCCTAGGATTTGATAGGCAACCTCCGTTCAAAGAGAAAAATGCTAACCCCCTGATCCTCTGCCAGATTTGACCGAAGATGAGCTTTGAGGATATGTCTGAAGACTACATGAAGATCTGAAGGACTTGGTGGTGCAGAAAACACAAGTAATAAACCTAGGTGTGCCTAGCCTCCTATTCCACAAGGTCTTTTGATAGTAGTTACTCAAAACTAACTTTTCAATAGATTGAATGTGATGACAGAAAGTAAAATCAATGGGTGAGGTTCCCTAAAATTCGAGTAGACCATTATAGAAAAGAGAATCAAAGTAATTGAGAGAGTAAACAAGAGAGGAACTAGTTGTTCAGGTTGTATCATCAAGATGAGCATGCATATTTTCTCCTTAATAAGATGCATATATGTTTCGATGGTATGTTGGCATTTTACCCTTCCTCTAAGGTCATTCCCTACCCATGCATATTTAACTAGCTAATCCATTCTTTTGCTTCATGCCACCAACTAATTAATAAAGATTAGGAAAGTAAAGATAGCGCATCATTAATTGTCGGCTTCTACGAACCATAACAATGTTCTATGGTATTGGGAATCTTTAGGTATCAAGCGTCATTATCATTAGAATACTAGAAGGTTGTACTTTCCCTCTAGTACATGCCTAACAATGATGCCTACTACTTGAGATTAATTTCTTTGTTTCTCATAATAGTAGTATAATCAATACACATAGTAGTGCACCATAACACGGTAATAAGCATGCAATAACTAAACACGAAAATAGTCGTTTTCTCCTCAAAGTTTGAGCACAATGAAAACACTCGAATTTTCTTGGCTCTACTTTTCTCTCTGTGTTTACATGCTTTAGTTAAAGTTTGGTCGCCTAAATTGGAAACTGAAGGTGTTCCTCTAAGTTCACCAGACGTTAACATGCCTATTCTTTTTCTTCAACCGGACCATTTGTCAGTCTATGTAGTTCTCCTACGCACTGTGGAGTTAGTTATTGCAGTTTATTTTGCCCAACTTCTTCACCGTGAGATAAGTTTAGCCACCTTTTCTACGCAGAAATTTTAGCCAACTTCAAATCAAGTAGACGCTAGCAGAAATCGAAGAATTGGACCAAGCAGGACCGTGGCTGTTGAAAGTTGTTCAATTTCACCGTCAACAGAATTTGCAGTCCCTGAAAAATAAGGCACAAAAGAACCAGGCAACTGCATTCTAAATTAAAAGGTAACATTAGTTTCGCTGAAAACAGGCATCTGCAGTCCATAATGATGAGCAGATACCACTACAAGAAGAAAACGATTAGGGGAGGATGCAACTTTCCCTTCCATTGATGAAAACCTTTAGATACAGGAAAAAAAAGGACAACGTGCATCAACAAGAGGAGCTTGCAGAGACGACACTGACCAAGCTTTTCTACTATTTAAACACCATAGCAACCTCGATGACATTGACACCCAAATAAATGCAAAATGGTGGGACTGCCACGCACACATGACGACTGCAAAGTACAGGGGGAGACCACACTTCCATTATTTTCTTCTTCCTTCCTTCCTTCCTTCTTTCCTGGTTTTTAGGGGCTCACCATCCACATTCAACCTTCTAAATGCCAACATTGGCTTAAAAAATCTTGTTTCGCATCACCAAGGTCACATCTTCTTGCTACTGCGTTCATCTTCATCACTCTGAAGCGCCTTCAACTTTCTGTAACCTTTGTCAGTGCCAAATATCCTGATAGCCAAGACACTCAAAATGAAGCGTCACTTGATGGATAACAATGTCATAAAGAAGGGGGGAAAGTAACTCTGGAGATGGGCATTCAAGAGATTCGAATATGACACCGCTTAACCAGCGGCACCATAAAGCACAACCATGCAGCTAAACGATAAGTAATGGCATGCTATAACAAGGCATACGGGACTTATGTTTTGGGAACTGATAGAGTTCTAAACTCCAAGGGATAACCCAAGAGCACGGCACTGCAAGCAGTATATGGTGATTGGTTACTTCTTTAGGTGGTCTAGGGGACATGCAAAGCTACCAACACGCTCACCCATTTATTACGCATATCCTAGTCAGAATATATGCACTCGTAATCTTTAAACCATTCAGAGACCAGGAAGGACTGATGTCTTTATTTGACTCTTTACTTTAGAATTTTGAACTAGTAGACAAGCTCAATCAGGAATTGAAGAGGATCTGCAAACGGATTTCTTCATTAGCTCAATAAAGACCGGTGCAAAATCAGCAGATTTGCATGGCTTATTACAGGAAATAAAAAGAAACCAACTCCTGTGGTGTTCGATACAGGTTATCATACCAAATCCAGAGTGAAGCCGAAGATTAGTCAGCTGGGTAACAGCCAACCAACACAAAAAGATAATTTTGAAACAAGTTCCCAAGGTTTGAAAAACTCACCAGTCCATGTATGTGAAAGTCGATGAGTAGTTTCCAGATTTAGTATAAAGCAAGCGATGGTGATAATCATGAAAATCAGCACTGGAAATATGAGAAGGAGGTGTTAGAAATCACCGAATAAGCACTTGATGATAACATATGTTACAAGAACAGAGTGATAACAGATTGAATAATGCAGAAATCAATAGGAAATGGAAAAACGTACCCTCCATATAAAGGAAGAAAATTGGACGGGCTCCATGGAAAATGGTAACCTGAATGCGCTTCAACTGTTTCCAGAACCCGAAGCACCATCCATAACCACAATGTAGATAGATGCGGCCCAGTAAGTGCGGGGCCAATAATAGTTGCAAATCCAAGGAACAATATCTCAGCAGGGTGAGCATATTCTGATGTCAGACCAAATGGTGTAGCATACCTGCATATGTAGTCAATTAGTCATTACCATAAAAGCATCTACACAACACCTCAGGATCCCATTCGCGAGAACATTATAAAACTGATCTAATTCAAACTTACTCGTGATGAACACTGTGCACATGCTTGTACAGCCATTTTGTATGTAAAATACGATGTCCCCAGTAAAATACAAAGTCTTCTAAGATGAAGTAGAAACTTATCTGAGCTAGAACAACTCTCCTGCAGAATTAAATCAGGAGTCTGTAAGCAGGCCTCACAAAAAGATGACAATAATGCCACACACAAAGAACAGAGAAGGTTTATCAAAATTCGGGGAATAGAAATGGAAAGGGAATCCAGCATGTGAGATTGACAAGTGAAGAATCATATAGTTTCTATGCATTCAGTATATAAAGAACCTGACAGTACCATGGAGGCAATGGAAGGCTGATTTTCATGCCCATATGCTTGAAGACAGGATAGGACACAAGCATAACTGGTAGATTGACACCAAAGTGATACAACAGGAGACGAGTAATACATTTCTCCTGAGCTGCAGGACTGTTGTTTTTAGGCTGCATAGAACCAGATATAAGTGTAAGTGCAAGTGCAATAGGAATAAAATAATCCCCACAGAAGAAGGAAATAGTAACCAAACTAGTTGATTACACATTAGAAATATACAGAACAGCCAATAAGAGATGTGATGCTGGGGTGAAGTCATATTTTCCAGAAGATATAAGCAGGGAAATGTCATTGTTTAACAACAGTGACCGCACAACATAGATCAAAATAGGGTACCTGAATCTTGTGCTTGCTCAGCCATCCTGCCCTTTCAAGGAATATGTAAGGAAGTCCAGATAAAAAGAAGACGCCTTCATGGATGAAGAAACTCCCTAGACAAGCCAACTGAAACTCGCTGAAATGTGTGATCAAATACTGCATGGGAAGAAAATGAAAGTTGTAAAAAGAAACCCACAAGGTAGTGAAGCAGTCAAATGGGGAAGGAGCTTCAGAAACTGTTTTGAACCATCTTCCATGGCTGAACTAATGAAAAAGAGCACATATTTCTCTCTTTAAGAAAGAAATTAACAAGTCAAATTGGTCCCCCCCAAATGTTACGTATGGGTAACTGTAATCCTGGCAAAGGGTTGACAAAAAAGCTCATGGAAGAGGAAGTAACTCGATGCATTTAAGAAATACACATACACAACATGGATTGATAACCGTGAGAACAGCTAGAGCACAAGTAGAACATAGTCTATTTCAGCTTCCCCCTAATCGAGATCTCCATGGGAATGACAACTACAATTTAAAACAATGGTGGAACCGTCCCCATCCACGCATTAAAGTGGGCAGAATCCGGCAAACAAAATGCCCATCTTAGCATTACTCGAAATTTTAACGCAGGGCGGAAAGTCCCCCGATATTCATCTGAAACAATGGCAAAAGATCTGAATGGAAACGCGTGGTTCACATTCAGCAAAGCTTTGCGCGGCAAAATAGCGGGACAGAGAAAAAAAAAAAAGACTAGTGTCTAGAGAATCAACTCCACCAAGGAATTGAAGAACCAGCACAAGCATTGGTGGCAGATCCAGGAGAGAGCAATGATGTAGCATTGATTCGAAAGGCGGAGGAATCTAACTATCTAAGGCTTTCTTGAAAAAGAATGCGGAATTACGAGAGGACGGCGCGAATATTATTATCCCGGGAGCAAGGTAGGAGGATGAGTTACCTGCCAGCCGGATTCGAGGAGGGAAGCCATGGGAGACGGAGAGGACAAGGAGGAGGAGGGGAAAGTAGCGTGACCGATCTTTGTCGCCTCGCCTTTTGCTTCTCTGGCAGAGAGTGCAGCAGAGTGAGGTGGAAGGAGAGAGAGAGAGAGAGAGAGAGAGAGAGGCGGCTTATATAACAGACGCAGGGAGAGCCACGCCCACTCCACTCAACAACAGAAACAGATGGAATCAAAGACGGACTCAGGAATCTGGGCTTTTCTTGGGCCCCTTACTTTTCTACTTTCCTTCCCTCAATTTATTATAAATTATAATGATTAAAAAACTATATTGTACTAGTGGTTCGACCCGAAAAATTTACTACCAGAAACAAAAACGGTAGGCGATGTGTAACGGTTAGAGGTGGCAAATGGATTGGATCCATGGATTGGTGGATTGGATTGGTGGATCCATAGATCAAATTGGATTGGATTCAATGGATTGGATAAAGTGGATTGTTGGATTATTCATGAATCCAAATGTCATCCTCAACCTTGGAGCAATATGTAAAATGTGAAAATTTTAGGTACTAAAATTTCATAATAAAAAAATTCAGATACCAAAACGTCATTTTCCAATTAGATTTTTCGTATAAAAATTTAAATGTTAGGTACCAAAATGTAAAATATAAAAAGTATAGGTACCAAATCGTAATTTCTCATTTGGATCCATGGATTGATCCATGAATCCACCAATCCAATTGGATTTGGGTCAAATGGATTGGATTTAAATGGATTGGATTAGGTGGATATTTTTAATGAATTGGTGAATTGGATTGGTGGATTGGATTGAGAATTGCCACCTCTAATAACGGTATAAAACAGTTGAATCACAATTAAATTATAATTTTAGCATATAATACCCTACTTGTAATTTTTCCGGTATGACCTCTAGTATTTCTATCCTTGATATAAATCTAACTAAACACACCTGCGACCAACGCAATGGCAGCCGGCAATGATGCTCATAGTGTCTGTGAAATCAATTGTAAAATTGACGCAATGATGTTGGATCAATTTTCTTTTGCTAAAAAAATGAACGCAATAAGACATCTTAGTTCGTATTGCTAGTCAAGTAGTCATCCAGCTATGTAAAAACAAATTTCATTACATAATATAATATACTTAGTGATAAAGTTCAATGTCATATATTTACAAACGATCTGCTGGCAACACGTACGCAGCCAGCACCAAGCTCATACAATTACAAACCTTCATACTAGTCTTTGGATGTACTTTAGTGGCACGATTGAAAGAAACAAACAACTCGGTAGCGGAATCTATATGGTTTTTTTTTTTTCCAGGAGGTATTGTCACGGACTTAAATTTCAATCGTGTGATTTTAGCTCTCAACTCCGTATAAGATGCTAAGTCAGTCTTCTCATTTACTCAAATTCACTCAACTCACAAAAAGATGGTAGAAACTTCATAGTGTGTATTACTCACAAATATGATGGATGATTACAAATAAGGAGGATGACCTCCTTATATAGGCTCTCTCCTCTTACAAGGTGTTAATACCTCCTTATAATGGCTCTTCTCATTACTACATCCTATAAGCAATAGCGGACCCAGAAATTTCATTAAAAGTATTCAACAATAGACAAAATTTTATAAGGGCTGTCAAATAGTTTGGAATCCAAATACTACCATTACCAAACTAATATTTTACACATGTATTTTGTTGAAATTTTACATTCAAGGTTTGTCAATTGACAACCCATTCTTGTGAGTGGGTCCGCCCCTACCTATAAGTCTCGCCCATAATGCACACAATTATCCCACCTCATAACGTGGCTCTTTATGTGCACCATTAAACTCATCTTTAAGATGGGGAATCCTAGGAGCATCCTATGCTACTAGGTCTTCTATAACGCTACACGTGCTTGACCTTGTAATGATCTGCCATGTCACTTGCCATGTCACCCACCACATGTGAAATTCTCCCCCATCTATTCTCGCGACGCCCTCGTCACGTCCTTGCTATTGAATGCCTCGATCGATCTCGAGCAGCTTCTCCCTACTCTACAGCCTCGGTCGTGACATTCTCCTCCACTCAATCCACGACGCCCTCCTCATGGCTCTTTGTCAGACGCCTTTCTTACCTTTGCCTCACTGCATGCAAGGTCTTGTTGTGCCTTCCTCAAATCCAAGGATAGCCCTAGCTTGCTCTCAAGTGTTGTGCTCCCATGATGTTGCCAACTTCTCTGTGGTCTTCTCCGTCGTCTCTTCGAGTGTCTTGCTTTCTCGATATGGTGGCCTTTCCATGCTCCTCTTGACAAGTCGATGATGGATCTTCCTCATCTCTCGTGGCTCCATGATGTCACACACTCCTCCTCGTTGTCCTTCTCAAATGAGTCTTCGAGTGGGCCGCTCTTTCCATCATCGTTGCCACTTCTCGTTGTTCTTGCCTTGCCAAACGCCCCTTGTTTGACTTGGGTTGCTCTCTTGTCATGGAAACCGATCTTGCTCCTCCTTCGATACAAAATGTATTGGCGTAAGTGACCGAGAAAGCTTTCTCCCACAACATGAACCAATATCGATGATGACCTGGTAGTCATCCAACGACACCACTTTAAAGTCTGTTACCCTGGTCCATCCTCCAAGCTTGAGTGGCACCTAGCGCGCTACTTCGTTAGTTCTTGTGGCCTTTGAGTTGGTTGCCTTCAACCACCCTCTTTGCTCCTTCTCATATGTGATGCCTAGCCTCCACGCTTGATGACTCGGTATTTGCACATGTTTTCCCCTTTGTTTCTTGATTGTTTGAGCTTGAATTATTGCGTCTTTGGCCTATTTTATGCTAGGTTGTATTCCTTTGTCCCATTTCAGGTCCTAGCACATAAAGTGAAGCATATGCGCAAGTTTCAAGTCAATCAGAGATCAATTGACGATTCGAGAGAAGAAACTCGGGCATGACCTGAAGAAGAATGGATTTCTACCTCACTTTATGGACAAAGAATCATGCAAGCTTGTTATGAAACGAAAGAGGACGAGACTACGAGCGTCTGGGATCAAACGACGATTGATTCGGAGTCCGGACGAGGGAGAAACGAAGCATTAAACAGAGGCTGAGCAAGCTGCACGGGCAGACCAGGGAGGCTGCACGGCCGTGCACGTGAGCAATATGGCCGTGCGCCTTATGCCGAGGACACGCACGGGCAACCCCTGAAGCTCGCACGGCCGTGCACCCTGGCCGTGCGAGAGGGCTGAAGTTCGACTAAATGACACGCTGCGTTTTGAGTTGCACGGCCAGAATGGTGATATGCACGGCCGTGCACCCTGGCCGTGCGAGTCGGGATTTCTTGGTTTTAAGCCAAATTCCGAACCAAAGAAGGGGGATTCGAGTTTTTGAGAGAGAGATCAGTTCCTAGAGAGAGAAAGTGACGAGCAAGAGTTTCCAAGTGCCCTAGATTGATCTTCAACACCATTGGAGGCCAGCTTGAGCTTGGAGAAGTGCCAATCAACGTCCAGAAGCAGGAATCCATCATTTGCAGTATGAATTCCGTGTCTGATTCTGCTTTTGCTTTCTTCTCTATGGAGTAATTCTCTCATTCATCTGGGTATGGAGAACCCTAGATTTGTATGTTAGGCTTTGATTGTATGAACCCAAGTACTGATTCTGTGATTGATTATATTCGATTGAGGTTTTGATGATTGAATGACTTGAATCCTGATCAAATTCCTGTTGTTTCTGCTTTAACCTAGAATGAGAATATCTGCCTAGGTTAATAGAGTATCCTTGATTGAAGGTAGGGAGTTGGTGACTTTAGTCGAGGAGCCAACTCACTATTCTGTACCGGATTTACTCCGGTAGTGGAGGTTTTGTTCTTAGGGCCTCAATCTGTCGACTCCGGTGGAGGTTAGTCGCCCGCTAGAGAGTCAGATTGAGAGGGTCTGAAGACCTTTAGTCGAGACTTCAGGCTGTTTAAGAACCTTCCGCAGTATAACTGTCATAGAAACTGAACTTGGTAATTACAATCCGGCTTAACTGCAGTCTAGGGGGAACCATATCCGGGTGACCTCTTTAACCTGAATACAACAGTTTCCTGCTTTGTTAGTTTGATAGTTTAGACTTGCATTCCAGTTTCATTGCTAGATAACACGAATTCACTGAGTAGTCATCATATCTAGGACCCGGGTTGATAATTAAACCTAAACCCGCTATACTACGCTTTAGGAAGTGGTTACACTTGGCCAATTCCTGGAGTGACAGTAGAGTTGAGTCAACGCTTCATCTACACCGAGAAGGTTGCAGCTTTCCCCGATGTCAACCAAGGCCTTCGTCTTTCTTTGGTTGAGCTTTGACGATAGGAAGCATCGATCGTGTCGCTTGGGGTGAGGAGGTCCTTCCGTTCACTTGATGGTGCTCAATCTCTTCATGCAACCAATCTTTATGACATGCAACTATACTCTTGGAGGTGCCTCCTCTTCTTCTTCTTCCGAGCTCGAGCACTCTGCTAGTGCGACCTTCATGGCCGACAACTTGTGCTTCTTTGGACAATCTCTCACACGATGTGGTCCATCACAAAAAAGCAAGTAAGGGGTTTCTCAGCCTTACCATTACCTCTTTGGTCCGAGCTACCACACCTCTGTATGTCTTTGTCATAGTCGTGCCCACCTCCATTGCCTCAGGAATCCATGCGTTCCACCTGCTCGTGGTACTCGACTAGGGACTCACCAATCGCCATTGCCTTGGCAAGAGTTTGCATACCTCGCCGTCGTAGCTCCAACTTCACCCATGGTTGAAGGCCGTCAAGGAAGGTGAACATGGCCTCCTTGTCGGTTTAGTCGAGAATCTCGAGCAAAAATTCATAAAACGCATTCACATACCCTTGAATCTCTCCTTCACAAGCAAGCTCCTTAGTCTCGACCGGTTTTGAACCCAACGTTCTCGGGTAGAATTGCCTCTTGATCTCCCTCTTGAAGTAATTCCACGACTCTATCACGCATGGTTGAGGTGGGTTTCACCGCGACATGTCCGTTAGCCATGGCCCTCTTTACAAGAGTAACCTCACTCTTGAGATCTGCAATCTCCTCCTTCATGATGATTAGCTCATCCTGAACTGTATCCTTCATAACTTCAATGGCATTGTTCATGGAGGTGGAGATGATGTTGTTGATAAGGGCCACTAGCTCTTCACGAAGCTCTTCATTGCCGATCTCCAAGCTCGTCAATCGACCCCCCAAACCTTGAACATCGCCTTAGATTTGGGTGAAGTTGGCCCCCAAATCCTCCATCACGATGACATTATCAGCCACCTTCACCTCCACTCTAAAGACGCGCTTCTCTAGAGCCGCCAAAGGATCACGAGTGTTGGACTTGTCGGACTTTGGCCTGGATCTTTTCGTGTATCTCGACCACATTTGTCACCACTAGCATCAAGAACTTCTGATCCCGACAACTTTGGTGAGGCTCTAGCTCTTTCTTCTCTTCTTCCTTTTGGGGAGCGATGACACTGATTCTTTTTTAGAATCAGGTTTTGATACCAACTGTCACAGATCTAAATCTTGACCGTGCTGCCTTAGCTCGCAAGTCCTTCTGAGATGCTAAGTCATCCTTCTCACTCACTCAACTCACAAAAAAAAAAAGACACAAGAAGATGGGAGAAACTCTCTAGAGTGTATTACTCACAAATATGATGGATAACTACAAATGAGGAGGATGTCATTCTTATATAGACTCTTCCCTCTTACAAGGTTTTAATACCCCTCATAATGCTCTCGCCATTACTACTCCCTATTAAGTCTCCCTTATAATGCACACCATTATACCACCTCATAATGTGGCTCTTTATGTGCCACATCACTTTCCATGTCACCCGCCACACGTGACATTCTCCCCTACCTATTCTCGCGACGCCCTCGTCGGGTCCTTGCTACGAAATGCCTCGATCAATCTCGAGCAGCCTCTCCCGACTCTAGAGCCTCAGTCATGACAGTACTCGCATAAGATGAGACATCCATCATGAATATAATTAAAGTTATATGTAGTTTACTTTAGCATAAGAGTTCCTCTAACCTATACTATTGTCATATAATTTTTGTAACACCCTACCCTATACGTTTTGCCTAATCATATTGTTCATACAATTGCAGCGGAATTAATCTCGGGTGTTACATTAATTATCAAAATTTACCCAAATAAAATTTCGACATGAATTACTCGTGTAATGGCTAACAGTTCTTGCAACTTATCCTGCAAAATAATTCACCACAAACATATATACTCACAACCATATGCATTGGCTTTTCTTAGCCATAGTCACACTTTTCATACTCCATAACTGCATACCATACTTATACATACCATAATCGTCACAACTTACACAATTACACAACATATACACATATCATCAACTTTCTACACCTGTGGATATCTCACACTACATCAGAAGCTAGTATGCACATGAAAAACGTTCTCAAAACATTTTTATAAAAAGGTGTGGATCACTGGCCAAAATCCCGAGTAGTCGTCCAAGCACAGAATAGTTGAAGACCATACCTCATCTTGCCTTCAACTCTTGCTCAGCTCCCACCTATACACCTATCTACTGCTGATGATGATGATCTGCTTACACATGTCATAAGCAGAGAAAAAGGATAAAGAGGGTCAGCTCATAGCTGAGTGAGATAATCATAGCATCGTGAGTTCATAACAGAGCATACCCCTACCATACATCTAGCAAACAAGCCAAAACACCAGGATCAGATCACAGCCATCCTCATGTCCCAATGGACAAAAGACTCAACCACCTCGACTTATGCATATGCATCTTATCATGTTTTAATCATAGGCGCCTGGCTACTCCCATGCTAATAACTCTCCCGGGAAACATACCCCACATCCCGTCGGATGTAGTCATACATACCCCACACCACTATGGGTGTAGTCATACCCCGACACCGCTCTGGGTGTGGTCATATCTCATAAGAATTCTCCAGTCACCACCACATGAGGGGTGTGACTATCATACATATCATAATAGAGTAATAGCATAGGGAGCCCTAATTACTATGTAGTTGACCGTGAGACCACAACACTCATATTTGGTATCCTTATACATGATTCATATCTCATCTTGCTTAAACATAATTCATTACTTGCACATGTACTTGACCTGGCCACAATTGACTCAACATAGGTAAATCAGGAGTCGTATAATTGCACTTCCTCGGGATAAACCCTCGTGCCAGTCATCCTCCTTAAACGTCATAATATCACCAGGGAATATATATTTTCCCACATGTGCATCCAAATACAACAATCATGAAAAATCATACCCAAACACCTTTTCGAACCATCATAAGGCATATCAACAGTCAAGCCCACAATTTGCAACATATACGAAATCATCGGCATAAAGAAGGTCCATCTCGATTAGGGCAAGTCAATAATATCATACAGTAGTCCATGATTCATCATATAGCACAAAAGTTCATACACCCTTAATCATGCCATTCTAGTTCACCTATATCAATTCTAAGCATCAATATAATTATCGTGATACGACAAACCCGGTATGCCGTGCTAATCCCTCACCAGTTCTGGTCGTTCAAACACCGGTTTAAGCTTCCCGTACTAAAACGTCAATTTCACGAACGAACCCCGAATTAAAATCCGAGACCGTCCTAATATCCCCTGCAGCATCCCCGTCAATATTAGTTCTAGGCTCCGGGTCAAATTCTCGATAAAAACACATCAAACCCTAGTCGGAGCTAAATTCAGCGGTTAGGACCCCGACCTAAATAATTACCGAAATTCAGGGATTAGAACTAGAGGATTGATTACCTCGCTGCAGGAAGCTCGTATATGAAATTTGGGCTCAATCCGGTTTCCGGATACTCCGAAACCCTAATT